TCATGGAGCATATCCCGTGTTGGTTTGACGTAAGGTACAGAAATAGAGCTGGAAGCAGGAACAAGCCCCCAGGTCTTCCCCTTTGAGGAGACAACACTAACCACCAAAAGTCATGTTTATGTTTGTTCCCTGTACCCAGGACCAGGCTACTGGGCTGCGATCTTTTCCGTTTTCTCCCACTGCTTTGGTGGAGGAGCAGAGACTGCCCTAGTACAGACTAGCTAAGGGCATTTTCCTAGTGAGGGGAAACAGGGTTTCAAATTTCCCCTTAAATTAAGGAGGAATTTTAACCATTTTCCTTCCTTTTTAGGCAGGGACTGTACTTCCAAGGAGGGGCAGTGAGAGCATTATCCCTTCCCCATGTTTTAAGACCAGGGTATGCTTCTCCTGGAGAGATTCAGGTGATGCTGAATCATTAGGAACAATTAATCTAGCCCTTAGTATATCAGATGGATGTGCCTGACCCTGCGTCAGGTTTCTGGCTGAAAGATTCTCTCTGAGGAAGAAGATGATGACAATCCTGAGAGAAGATATATTGATGCCCAGAAGCAGTCTATGTTACAGCTGGAGATTATTCCTAAATGCTGTGTAATGTTTAGGAGCCTGTTGGGCCAACAAGCCATGGGGTCATTCTCCTTGTAGCTACTGGAAGAAACATGAGAAAGGAGAGAAGCAATAGAAATCTCCTGTGCTTGCCCTGGCTCTGCTGGATCAGACCCTTGGAGAAGAGTTGAGCCTTCAGGAGGCTGCACCGAGGCCACCTCCTCACATCAGCTGAGCTAATCCAAAAATATGACAGGGTGTCCATCCCTGTTTCCTCCTGGGAAGGTCAGTGTTTTCAATAATGGAAATAAAGGAGTCGTCCTTGCATGGAGCTCAATCTCAGGAAATAAGGAATGATGGGAAAAGTATGAGAAAAAGAAAAAGGTTTTGGGGTAGCTTGTGGAAATTGAGAGACTATGGATGAGTCTGTAATAGAGCAGAAAGCGTTAAAGAAACACTGGAGGGAAGAACTGGTGATAAGCAAAACTAAGATCCCTGTGCCTCTGACTGCTCGTTTCACCTGGAATGTCTTGTTTTCACCCCAAGTTTCCCAAATACTCTCCTTTGTGGTACACTTTTCTTTTAATTTTGAGAAGTTGAGAGTCTTCATGTATTTACTTATTTCAGCAGTGTTATCTGTGCGGGTGAATTTTTAAGTGTAAATCACTGCGTTAGAGAGAAGGGTGAGTGAAACAGGTTGATTCAATGGTAATTGCTGTTCCCAACAAACTTGTAATGAGTTTACAACAGTGAGTAGTGGTACCAAAACAGCTGTTGCAGATGTGTTTTGGGGTTTTTATTACTGTTGTTGTGCTCTTGATGGCTTTAAGTAACTGGATCTTTTTTCAAAATCAGATCTTTTGACCAGTAATGTATATCACATTGATCACATTTACACAGAGCTCCATTTATCAGCCCAAATGCTGGATGGAGCTCCTTTGCCCTGACTTGTCTGGTAGCACGGGCCAGGCACTGTCCAAAGAGGCCCAGCTTATCTGCTCCGTTTTTGTCAGCGTATTTATCATCTGACAAGACAGTATCTGGTTTTTTTTGTGTCTTTGTACAAAAAAAGAGATGAGGTTGACTTGTATCTGGGTCACTCGCTGTGGTTGTGTTTATTTTTACTTATTGAGGTCTGGGGAGTGGTGTCCAGCAGCACTGTGTTTAATACTGTGTGTCTTTATGGCCAACAAGCTGTTTTTGTGGTGCTGGCAATGATATTATTTTTTTAGCCTTTAACAAGGAAGTAAATGCTAAAGTTAAAAGTGTGAAAGTTTGCTGCTGGTGCAGCCTTAACCAGAGCAGGGAAATCTAACAATGGCTACAGAGAAACGGGGAGTCTTCTCGGGATGTTGAGCAACCAGATGACAAAATAGCAGATAAAATCTGGTGCTGATAAAAGATACATACAGGGGAACAAAAACTGTGCTTAGGTAAGAGGAGCTGTAAAACAGCTCTTTTCATGAAGAAAAGAGACCTTTTGAGTAATGTGGACAGCTGATGGGTGATGGCTGGTGATGGCAGAGGAGATGAAGAGGACATTGGAAATGTTGGGGGACCTATGTCGTGGCCATCCTCACGTGGCCCTGTTCCCCCCTGGGAGGTAGCTGAGGGTCCTGAGCGTGGGTGAGACCTTGCCTCCACCGAAGAGTGAGTCGTGCAGAGGAGGTGAAAAGGGAACTGGTGGCTCATGGTGCAAGAGGAAGGGACACCGAAAGATGTTGTCAGGTGGCTGGCTCACAGCAACAGCCATATGGTTCCAAGCAATGTGATTAAAAGAGGGAATTCATTGCTACCAGGCTTAAGGGATTGGTGGGTTTTGGTGTATGTTGGTCAAGAGGGTTGGAAAAGAGCTTTCCATGACTGCTTTGGTGGTCTCTGATCTGGCCCAACGCAACCATCTTGTGAAGGTGTAAAGAGAAGAACGGGAAGAGGGGCAGGCGCTCGCTCCCACTTCTGCAGAAGCCTTCACTTGTGAGTACAGTTTTAAGTCTGAACGTGCCAAAAAAACCCGACACAACCCCCCATCGTGCCTCTTCTCATGGTGACGATGACACAAAGGAAGCTGTGAGACGCGGGGCCCGAGGTGTGATGAAATGGGCTGCAGCTGCTGCGAGCGGTGCTGGCGCTTTCCTTGGCGCGTGGGTTCAGAGGCGTGGGGAGGTGTGGGAGTCGATGGAAACGGGGGGCTGCTGCTGCTGCTGTCTGGGTGGAAGCAGAGCTCTTGGTGTGTTTCCGAACTGTCTCATCCTCATTCGCCTCATGTCATGTACAAATAAGACTTCCCGAAAAACCTTGATGCTGCTTCTGGACAGCTTCAGGTCTCCACGCATCCCCAGGGACCTTCCCCAGGTCTGCACTGTTGCCACAATACCTTTTCTTTTGGCCTAGCACAAATTAAACTTAACTCTGTGTTAAAAAGCCACTTTTCACTTCAGCACGGAGTCTGCCTGGTGGTGTTTTTGGTGGAGACCTCTGTGCTTTGCTTCTCGGCAGTAACAACCTCTTCAGGGAAGAGCTGCTTCTTGAGCAACCAGAGGAAATAGTTCATGCAGAACAAAGGGGATGTTTTAGGGTGGTTTTTTGCTGTTAGATTTGCATTCAGGTTCCCAGTCCAGTGCTGCAGCCTGAATTTATTACTAAGAAGGCTTTCTGGAGAAAAGACATATGTGGGAATATCGGCTTCTGCTGGCTTTGACCAGGCTGGTGGAAAACTGCAGCCAGAGCTGAGAAATGTCCAGCTGAAGAATGGGATCTTGCCTGGCACAGAGCTTGAAGCTGGGCAAGAAAAGGGATCAAACAGTAATTGCTCTCTGCTGATGCAATGGCTGGGCATTACTTGTTTCCTCCAAACCTCCTGTGTGCCATGTGCCATCCCTACTTGAGGCTTTCTTGGGTGGAAGAGATGCAGCAGAGCATCAGCCTGGAGAAGAGAAGGCTCTGGGGAGACCTTATAGCGGCCTTTCAATATCTGAAGGGTGCCTATAGAAGAGCTGGGGAGGGACTCTTTGCCAGGAAGGGTAATGATAGGACAAGGGGAAACGGTTTTAAATTGGAAGAAAAAAGATTCAGATTAGATATCAGAAAGAAATTTTTTACTATGAGGGTGGTGAGACACTGGAACAGGTTGCCCAGGGAAGTTGTGGCTGCCCCATCCCTGGAGGGGTTCAAGGCCAGGCTGGATGTGGCCTTGAGCAACCTGCTCTAGTGGGAGGTGTCCCTGCCCAGGGCAGGGGGTTGGAACTAGATGATCTTTGAGGTCCCTTCCAACCCAAACCATTCTATGATTCTATGATCTCTCTGCTGGTGTGCAATTGCTCCAGGGCTCCAGAACAGGCTGCTATCATGGATCCCAAGCCATCAACAGGCCATGAAAATACACCTTCTGTTAATCTAAGTAATACCTTGATTCTCCAGAGGTTTGTGGCAGCAAGACCTGTCTTCAAGACCAGGTTGGATGAGGCTTTCAGCAACCTGATCTGGTGAGAGGTGTCCCTTCCCATGACAGAGAGTTGGAACTGGATGATCTTTAAGGTCCCTTCCAACCCCAACCATTCTGTGATTCTGTGATCAGCCAAGGGCTTGGGAGACCTCTGTTGATGGAGAAGCAAATCCCACCTGGAGCTGAGTTGCTGCAGCAGGGGGAGGGCAGGCAGGTTGCTCCTGAATTCAGCTCATGTGAGCTACTGCCACAATTACACCCGGCTTCCTGTAAAAAGAGACCGTTAATTCTGATATGAATAAGCCCCGTTGCTGCGGCAGCAGGGGAAACTGCTCCCGGCGCACCCACGCTGTTTGCTGAGGGGGAAAACTGAAGCTTCTTGAGGTTTTTCTCATTAAACAATTTCTGAACTTCTGACACCGCTTTGTGTAACATCTTTTCCCCTCAGAAGCTAAAAGTAGCTCTGGGGAGAGGAGGGTGGTATGGGGCCATCCTGCTCCCCTCCCACGTGCCCAGAGATGGGGAGCAGTGGCCAGAAAGGAGGGTGATGGGCTTGTGCTGGGCTCTGGCTGTAGGAATTCTGTGATTCTGTGAATTCACATTGTCTTGGGGTACCAGAGGAGGATCGGCAATTTGCAGCTGTGTGTTTTGTCCCTTGGAAAGCCAGCATTTTGCTTTTCTCCCCAGTGCAATAAGGAGGTTAAAACAATTTTGAAAAGGCATTTAAAATATTCTAAAGGTGCTCGAGAGGTGGCGAGGATCCAAGTGCTGCCACGTGTTGGTCCACGCAAGTGTGTGCTGGTGATACAGGCAGAGGGGAGAATGGGCCAAGAATTACTTTAAATTTTTTTTTTAAAGGATTTTTTTTATCATATACACCAGGAAATAAAAAATATATATTTATTTGTTTATTTTTTCCTTGCTATGAACCAATTACAGTGTGCTTCATGGTTTTCATGAATTAGCAGTGCTTACTTAGCCACCACACTCAGGTACAGACACGCTGGCTCAGACTCTGAGAGATGAGGTGATGGAGTTTTGTTTTATTATATAGGAGGGCTCTTAAAAAGAAAAAAAGTCTGTGTTCCAACACACTCTGGTATTCACATAGTTTTTCTACAAAATATATAATTTTTTATAAATTAAATCTATAAAACAACATTTGCATTAAATAAAGCCTCGTACTGTCACAGTTTTTTTTTACACTTCAAAATGTAACATTTCAAATGTTCACAGAAAAATAAATTTTACAAGAAGGTGCAAATGAAATACCAGTAAAGCTCAAAGCTTCTGTTGTTTGGTTTCAAAGAAATTATTCTTAAAAATACACCCACATTTGAGCCTTTCTATAAAATCTCTCGTAGCCTTTTGGGTGGTACCTTTGCCTCTGCTTATAGAGAGTTCAGTTCCCGTTACAGCAAACTTCAGAAAGGTTTGGTTCCTCTGGCTCTTTTAATCACGCTGCTGTTAACTAAGAGTAGATGTGATGGCGCAGGGTCAGTTATAAGTGAAAGGGAAATAATTTGCTCCATCTTTGGTGAAAAGAGGACCCGAAAGGCTTGAGGAAAATCCAGCCTGAATAAATACCCTCAAAGCGCAGCCCCATGGTTAAAGCTTATCAGAGGCACCGATACGATTTCGAGCCAGAAATGGGAAATGGTGGCAGAAAAATAGTGTCTGGACATTTCAGTGACTTTGTGATTCAGGGTTATGGCATTTGCTCCACCCCGAAATGGAGATTTGGTTAATTATTTAAATGGCAAGTCCTTTGGGGCCACCTTATGCTCCTTGCTCTGTGGTCAACATGCCTTGAGGCAAGCTCTTGGTGCTCTCCATAGAAATTAGTCACTGCTGGATTGTCTTTTGCTTCAGAAATATGTAATACTGTGTCATCTACTAATTTTTATGATCAAATTCTTTTTGTATAGCCAGACTCCAAAATCTTTGCTGCCTCTTTCTGAAGCCAAGGTGCTTCAGGACATGGCCAAGGTGACCAGGACGTGGTCAGGAAATGGCCCCACCAGTGACAATGGGGCACAGCATCACTTCTTGCCATGGGTCTGGGTCCTCCTCCTACTGCCAAAGCTACCTGCTCCTGGCTGCCCAGCTTAGAAATAGGGCCTGTGGGAATTACACGGTGCTATTAGTATTCAGAGAAAATTTGCAACCAAAGCATTAAATCAAAATATTTTCAGTCAGGTTTGGGTTCTGGGGTTTTTTTGTTTGGTTTTTCTTCAACCCTCACTAAAATCAGCAGAAGCTTGTTTGAGTCATCGCTCTCAGTGTCCTGGGGGGAGGTGGGGAAGGGAGTGGGCCAAAACTCTAAATATAGGGAATATTTGAAATGCTGGCAACTTTTGGGAGAAGTTCAGCACTTCTGGCATCCTCCAGATGATCCGTGGCATCCTCCCTGAGAACATCTCTGGAGTGTTTCCTGAGGTTGTGAAGCTGGATGCTGTCCTGCAAATCCTGCCTGGAAAGGCGTCTCCTGAACTCCTCTGTAGTAAAATAGTAGATGACTGGGTCCACGCAGCAGTTCAAGCTGGCAAGGCACAAAGCTAAAACGTGAAACACCGAGATCACCTTCTGGACGCAGCTGTTTTTAATTATTTTGGTTTTGACAAAGAAATCCAGTGGAAAGCTGATGTGATAAGGTGCAAAGCAAATCAGAAATACCAAAGCGCAGGTGAGGATCATCTTTAAAGCCTTTTTTTTCTCTCCGAGGCCATGTGAAGCAGAGTTTTTTTCTTTGAGTGATAAGATAGTCTTCCAGGAGCAGTATAGGATAATAAGTAGGGGTGTTACAAACCCCACCAATTCACCTACTGTCATCATCACAATGGAGGTGGGAATGCCAATGTTCTTTACGGGGAGATCCACAAAACACGTTTCGTTACCATCGTCCTTGTGAAGTCTGAGAAGCACGAAAGGCAAACAGCCAATGCAGACCACGACCCACCCCACGATGCTGATGTACACGTCACAGATGCGTTTGCAGTCACTGAATTTGAAGGGGTGCATAAGAAACAGATAGCGTCTTACGCTGATGCAAACCAAGAAGTAGATGCTTGCGTACATGTTGACATACTTCAGGTAGAAGCAGAACATGCAGAGACCTGGTCCAAATTTCCATGTCCCGGTCAAGTAGTAGAAAATCCTCAGGGGCAAGGACAAAACCTGCGATAAGTCAGCAATGGCTAAATTGATCATAAATATTACAGCCCTTTTAGTCTCTTTCATGTACCCGTAAAAGACCCACAAAGCTAATGTGTTTCCTATTAGTCCAGGAATCAGGATGAAAGTGTAAGTAATTGCGTAGTAGGTTTTGAGGTTTGTTTCGTTGCAGGTCGAACCGTTCATCATGGTTGTGCTCCAGATCCAAGCTCAGCCCTGGCATGATAACATGTTCCTCACTCGTGTCCTGCAGCCACGTTCTCCTCTGGGCATTGGTGCTTAAATTAAAAGTTTCAGCCCCGGCGTCCGTGTGGGAGGCTTTGGTTACCAGATTGTCTTGTCCACTCTGGGGAGAAGCTTCGTTATGGGGTGTGTGGGTTAATTGAAGTCCTCCTCGTGTGCTTTGCTCATGCTCTTTGTCAGAAGTTACCGGACCTCGCTCTAGTGGCTTGTAGGATTGATGGGGAGAGGATTGGCACCTAGAAATGCATTCTTGGGTGCCGAAGCAGTCAGTGGTTCGTCACCGGAGCTGCACCTCTGTCACCTTTCAGGTCTCATTTTAGCCACTTCTCTCAGCACAGGAGTTTGACAACTGACGTGGCTGAAAGACAAAGAGGTGCAGTTATTACGCTGCGGGGAGACACGGGTCTTACAAAGCAAAAACTTGCCAGAGCAGTAGGAGCATCTCTAGCAGAAACCTATTGGCATCTGTGGTGGTCAGCTGTTCTCCTGCCTGACAAGTGCTATCTCTCATCCAGTGAAGGTGAAAACCCACTAAGGAATGAATAGAAAATGTGTTTAATTGCTTCCACAAACCAGCCTGCTGTGCTCTACCCCCGAGCAGAAGTCACCCCTAGTCGCTGGGTGTATTTAACTTGCTGCCAGGTTTCTGACAGGATCACAGAATCTTAATGGTTGGAAAGGACCTCTGGGATCACCGAGTCCAACTGAGATCACCGAGTCCAACCATACACACACACAAAAGACCCCCACAATCTCAGCCACTAGAGCATGCTCTGAAGTCCCACATCTACACGTTTCTTGAATACCTCCAGGGATGGTGACCACCACCTCCCTGGGCAGGCCGTTCCAGTACCTGACCACTCTTTCAGTAAAGTAATTTTTCCTAGAATCTAATCTAAACCACCCCTGCCACAACTTCAGACCATTTCCTCTGCTCCTCTCATCATTCTCTTGGGAGAAGAGGCCAACACCCACCTCTCTACAACCTCCTTTCAGGTTGTTGTAGAGGGCAATGAAGTCTCCCCTCAGCCTTCTTTTCTCCAAACTAAACATGCCCAGTTCCCTCAGCCTCTCCTTGTATGACTTGTTCTCCAGACCCCTCACCAGCTTGGTAGCTGCCTCTTGCCCAGTTCCAGCTTTTCCAGTTGAAGCTCCCTTTGGCCACGGTTGCATTGGTCTCCCCGTGCCCAGCCCAGGGATGCTCTGGGGAATGCCATGCCCTCATCCCTCCTCGCTGCACCCAGAGGGATGCTCTCGCCTCACACAGCACTCATCAGTTTAACACTCCCAGGTCTTCTCAGGAAAAGCCCTTCAGAAACTTCCCACCCGCACCACGGCTAGAGATGGCCGAGAAGACAGAACAAAATCAGCTCCTTATGTAAATGAGCCTGACACACACGCCTGAGAAATTCATATTTTCCACCAGTGCAGCCACTGCTGCCGCGGCACGGAGTGGAACTCCCAAGTCGGTGGCTTTCACCGAACCGAGGTCAACTTTTTCATTTATCTTTCATAAATAGAATATAAAGCATCCTTATAAAGCACACGAAGAGGAACAAGCAGCCCACTTGTTAAACACTTGTTTTTTTTGCTGAAGAACTACCTGCATTATATTAAATTTAACTTTCTCACAGCTGCTTTTTCTAAGCCTTTCTCTTGCCCATCTTGCACATGTGACTGCTCTGGCTGTTGGAAATACCAGATATCATCACTAAGGTGACTGTAAGTGGACTTTTTTTTTAAAATTGTTTGCATGGTAAGCAGCTGATATTCTCTGAATCTCTCAGACAAAAAAAAAAAAAGAAAAAGAAGCAAACAAACAAAACCAACTGCAGATCTGATAAATATAGAGGAAATTCAGATCTCTGTCCAAACTCTCTCTCTTTTACTTCAGCATGAGGAATTAACCTACAGGTCTAAGTGGGAAAAGTTTGTAGGTACCAAGCAAGATGCCAAAGGCACATTTATAAAGGCAAAATTAAATCCTGCTGCAATCCCTGATGTTTTTTCCTGTGCTTTGAGGTATAGGTGTTAAAATGTGAATATTTATTAATGAAGTCGATATTCAACACTTGCCAGTGTGATTGCACTGAAACTTTGAAGTTGCTTTGGGTGGAAACAGAAAATCTTCTACAAAAGGAAACATGTCGGGGGAGTTGGGGAGCTTTTCTGTGTCTATTTGTGCAGTTTCTCTTGCATACCATTGAGTAACGAGTCCAATGAGACTGAGATGTCTTCCTTTCTTCCAGAGAGCCAGCTTCTAACATAACCAGTTGAGCAAAACAGCTCGTAAAATAATCCCGTTAAACTTCAGAAGCTACGATTAATAAGCCATAGAGTTAATTAACCTGCTGTTCAAAGAGTCTCCAATTCTTTTATTAGTTCTCCACCCGACTTCCGATGCACAAACCTGAACGACTAATTCTAGAAATGTGAGTAATCTCTTCATCACGCACTAATGGGTGCTCACCTACTTGTTAGGTTTTATCACTGGTGGGTAACTTGGGCCCAGGGCTTCAGTTTCTATTTGCTGGAGCTTGATTGGCACAAGTAACTGGGAAGGGGCTGTGGATGGGGCTGTTTTTTGGCAGTACCTGTCATGCCCTGGGGTTCCCTGGGGCTTCAGAGCTCGCCCTTGGCAGCTGATTAAATCCTTTAGGGCTTTCTGACAGTGGCACCCATTTTGGGTAAGCCCCTCCCTTCTCCTCTGTACTGGGATCAAGCCAAGCCAGTTGGCCAAAACCAGTACATCCTCCCTGAGTGGACAGAAATTGCTTTGCTGGGCTTGAAAAATGCTGAGTATTGGTACAGGCAGAGTGGGCTGCACTGGGAAAGCATCCAGAGATGCTTAGTGGGGACTGGTACTTATAGAGGATGGGAGGGATGCTCTCTTTCATGTGGGTTTTCCATGGTGATGCTGAGGCCCTGTGAAGATGTTCCCATCCTTACTGTTACAGCAAACTCCTCTGGGCTTCCCATCCAGCTCCTGGTCCTGCAGGGGTGTCTGAGCAAAACCACCAGGTTATAGGTGGCTGGGCTGTGCCCAGGCAGCAGGACTGGGCCACCAGTGACCTGCTGCATCCTCTCACTCCCGGAGAGCTCCTCTACTCCTCTTGGCTTCCCAGATACCAGCACCATCCCCTAGGAACGCAGCACGAGGATGGCTCGTGAGGAGCCACACAGCTTTGCCTTGGGTTGATTTTCGCTTTTTTTTTACCCAGAATATCTCAACTTTGTGCCTGAAGTTTGCTCTGAAGCACCAGCAGTGAGGAGCTTGGGTGACTTTGCGGTGCCGTCGCTCACTGCCCATGTGGGTGTCCCCATCCTGCAGACAGACACGTGCCCGGCCGGCACTGCTCCTGTGGACACTGCTGGGGCAGGGCTATGCCTGGCTGGGGACCATCTACAGGGCAGACATGGCCCTAAATCCTCATCTCCCAGTTCTTCCTTCCAGTCATTTTAAATTTTTTTTTTTTTTTTAACAATGTTGTCTTTCCTCTCACCTCTTGCCCAGGGGCTCCTATCACCCAGTCAGGGAGGCTGAGTCATGTTGCTTTTCCTCTGCCCACGTTCCTGGGGTGGGTAAACCCCCCCTGCCTCCATCGCTGGGCCACGGGACACACAAAAGGAAGGACAAGGTGCAGTCTGGTCACAGCCCAGGGCACACACGTGTGCTCACAAGCCTTTTTCCTGCTGCCCCCCTAAGTTTCCCCGTTTCCACTACCCAGCAACTTTCCTGCAATGCCACCCCCTGTTCCCCACAGCCTGGTCCCGGGGCAGGAATGTGCTTGGAGGACTTTCTGCCTCTCCTAGGGGCTGCAAACCCCCAGCACGAGGGGTCCCAGACAGCGAGGATGCTGGCCCAGGTCACCCAGAAATGCCACGGCAAGAACAGCCGCCCTCAGAGCGGGGGTAAAACCACCGCGATGTGAGAAACTGCGCTTTGGAAATCCCGAGCAGTAACATGACAAAGTTCAGCCAAATGCGCTATGTAAAAAACCAGCAGGGTGCTAAAAAAAGCTTCAGAAAGAGGAAATTTTGTTTCGCATGCTCTGTGCTCGCTTCCCCTCAGCACAGGGGAGCTGGCTGTGGCGGTAGGTTTGAGACTCTCCCCAGGCATGGCTTCCTTCTTGCCCCAAATGATTTTTTTCCTCCCTGTGTTTTGCCAAGGAGACCCCACAGTCGGGCAGGTCAGAGCACTGGGTGAAGATTTCTCACTTGTACTTAATGAGTCAGAAACAGCAGGTGAGTTTTGTTGCCAGCTTTACAACCAGGGCTCGTTAACGCTTGTTAAAGCTAGGCAGATATTGTGAAAAGACAAAGTATTTTCTATATGCTGAAGGGCAGCCATAAATCCACATGAACAAGTGCAGGAGCTGGGGCCATGGGAGCAGCCCCTTACAACCACAACACCCGTGGGTCAGAGATAGAGCAGGGCTCAGCCTCAAACCCACATCATAGTCCATCACCCCCTCCATGAATCATCAGGCTCCACACCTGAGGGTGATTATAATTGCCCAGGTCAAGCAGGACCCTCATTAGCAAATGCTGTGAGTTTTACCCCAGGAAGCAAAACCACAGCAGCTCTTAAAACCCAGCTCAAGAGAGGAAAGGGTCTTAAACCAGATTGGGGGAAAACAGCCTGTGGTTGGGCACTTTTTGTACGTGCTACCTCTGCTGCTGCATCATGCCTGGTCCCCTCTAGGAGCCCAGATCCTTAAGGAACCCAGGATGCTGCCCAACACCTCCTGCTCCCTCCTAGAACCAGCCTGCCCTAACTCTGCCACCAAGGACCATTCTTGCTGACTCAGGTGAGCAGTAGGCACCCTGTGTTTGGTGTGGGGCTGGTATTTATGCTGTAAAATCACCTAAAGTAGCCTGTGGCAGGGGTGACGTGGGCAGAGCAGCAGCTGGTGCTGGCCACCCCGGTGTCATCTGCTGACTTACCCTCCTCGGGGGAGGCTTGGGCACGCTGCCGCCTGGGACCTCTCTTCTATTTTTCCTCCTTCTCCTCTGCGGCCTAAAATAAAAGGAGAAGGTGCATAGGGGTAATTTCAAATAGAAAACTAGTTTCCTGCTGAAGTTACGCAAATAGAGGCAGTGCGGTGGTGGCTCTGTCCCTCCCTGTGCTGGGGACGTGGGGACAGGGGAGCTGACCCAGGGACCAGAGCAGGGACAGTGGTGCCCTGGGCCAGGCTCTCCCAGTAACCACTTGTTTTCTGCGTCACCTGAAGTGCTGCTGTTCTATTTTGGCAGAGATAACAACTACCGATTAAAGTATTAACTGAAAAGAGAAATGGTAGAAATGTAAATGATCAATGCATAGAATTGCTTTTTAGTTATTTTTTCAAAATGTCAGGGGAGGAGAAAGGCTTTTCTCCCTCGAAGCATTTCTCTGGTAGATATTAGGTTTTGTATCCCTTTCCATAAGGGTGATGTTGCCTCTTGCTGTGTGAATTGTGGAGACTTCTCTCTATTTCTCTTTGGTAGCACCTGCCCACAGAGGTCACGGTGCTTTTGTCAGGGATCCTTGGAGCCTCCTGTATTTTGCTGTCCTTGTCCTGACACAGCATGAACCCTGAGCCCCTGCCTTTACCCCTGCCCGGGCACCTCTAGGGTCCCAGCCTGGGTACCAGTGGCCTCTAGAGCATCCCCCCTCTGACACATCTGTTCTGTGTCAGCATCTCTTCTGCACCACACACACACACTCTGGGTTGCTGGAACATATTTGCTAGCACTGTGTTTGTGAAGGCAATACGGATGAGAGTGGCTCTTTCACTTTGACTCTGTTGCAGTGTCTCTGAGCATCTGCCTGTTCATCCCGTCCGATTTCTGTGGTTACATGAAATGAGAGACACTAAAAATGGTGAATGTTTATTCCGTGGGGGGAAAGCAGTGAAACAGCCGAGACTTTACAGGTTAGGACTGTGGGGCATTGGCACAACAGAATGAAAAGGTTTCTTTCTGTTGTGTTGGCTTTTTTTTTTCCCCCCACTAATTTCTCACTTGCTTATTATTAAGGTAACTGAGCCTTTCCATGATGTGCCTACCCTCTGCCCTGCCTGTGCTCCCTGTCTTTCTGCCCACATCCCTGCTGGGGAGGAGCTGTAGCGGCTGCTTGAGGGAGATTCCCTGTCTGGCACTGGAATTTTGGGAAGGGGCTGTGAGGCTGCAGCCCCTGGGGGGGGCTCACTGGGAAGAGTACTGCATCCAGCTTTGGAGTACTCAGCACAAGAAGGACATGGACCTGTTGGAGCGGGGCCAGAGGAGGCCACGGAGATGCTCAGAGGGGTGGAACACCTCTGCTGTGAGGACAGAGTTGGGGGGGTTCAGCCTGGAGAAGAGAAGGCTCCAGGGGGACCTTAGACTCCCTTCCAGTCCCTAAAGGGGCTCCAGGAGGGTTGGGGAAGGACTCTTGATCAGGGAGGGGGGCCATAGGATGAGGGAGAATGGTTTTAAACTGAAAGAGGGGAGATTGAGATGAGATCTCAGAAGAACTTCTTTGCTGTGAGGGTGGTGAGAGCCTGGCCCAGGTTGCCCAGAGAAGCTGTGGCTGCCCCATCCCTGGAGGGGTTCAAGGCCAGGCTGGATGGGAGCAACCTGGTCTGGTGGGAGGTGTCCCTGCCCAGGGCAGGGAGGTTGGAACTGGATGATCTTTAAGGTCCCTTCCAACCCAAACCTTTTTGTGATTCTCTAAGAGGGGCTGGGGGAGGAGAAGGGGTGCTGTGTGCTGGTGGGCAGTGACTCAGGCAGCCAGGGACACCAGGGGGATTTTGGCTGGGTAATTTCCAAGAATATGCAGAAAACAATAAACACTCCAGTTTACTGCCATGTGTAATAGGCTCCTTTTGCCTTTTAATCCTTTGCAAAAGCTCTTGTCCCCTGCCTTGGTAATATTGACTGTGGTTATAAAGGAAAAATAAAACCTGGAGCAGCAGTGTTGTGTCTTAGCCCAATCCCCCACCCCTCTTCTCCCTTCCTGGCATACCCTGATGTCCCGTGTAGATGTGCATGGTAATAAGTACCAAAGCTGTGAGTTTTCTACCCAAACTGTCAGTGTATACCCCCAGGGACATGTGGCCACTTGCCTGTGCTCACTGGGCTGTGTTATCAGCAGTGGCACAGATACCCCTGCCTCTCCCCTCCCCCTGCTCTTGTAATTAAGTGGAAAATTGCCAGTGGAAAGTCAGCCTCCTGCCTCTTGTGAGGCACGGACTGTTTAAGAAAATCCATTGGACAACCAAGTGAGACCCCCAGTAACGAGTAAATCAGGCCAGTCACTCACGTGCTTGTGGAGATGGGGCTGTACGGCCTCAAAAAGTCCACTTACAGACCAGTCCCTCCACAAGACGCTGTGGGTTTTGCAAAGAGTAAGAATCTTCACAAGTGGTGTTATTCTTAAACACAGCTTCTTGATATTCGCGTAACAGTAATAGAAAATATGGTTTGAAACTTCCTGGCCAGCTATTTTGACTTAAGCCATACCCTCCCTCTCCCCAAGAGACACAGAGCATCTCCTGAGTGCCAAAGGGAGCTCACTCTTCTGGTAAATGGAGATATTGGCTCCTCACCCACACCTCAGCTTAGCTGGCACCTCCTTCCTTCTACTCCTTTACTTTTGGAGATTCATGGGGGTCAGTGGTTACCACTGCACCCTCCTGCCTCTGGATGGGGTGTCCCCATCCCCTCTCAGCACTTCTAGCACCGGTAGGAAGAGGCAACAAGTCTATGTTGCAACAATCAAAAAACAAACAAAAAAAAAGTACCATTTAAAACCGTTAACCTGAACCAAAGATAACTGTGGATAAAAGAACATCAGTCCTACCTTTGCCGTGCCGGTGGGCTGCTCCGGTGGGACCCTGCGGGCCCCGGTCTGTGGGTGCTGGCAGCGGGTCCCCACCTCTCTTGACGTGCAAAGCAAAAGTGCAACTGCCGGGAGCAGCAGCGCGGGAGGCGAGTGGGGCCCTCCCCGGCTCTGCCACTCCTCCTGCCCTCGTCCCAGCCTGACCCGACCCCTATTCTTTCTTTTTTTCGGGTTTTTTTTGGTGGTTATTTTTATACATATATATATATGTGTAGAGGTGCTGCTGGTTTTGGGGTGTTTTGGGAACTGCCGCCGTGGCACGGCAGTTGCTGTTTTCTGGGAGGCTGCTGTCACCCCAGCAGCTTCCCCGGTGGTGGGGGGCACTGGGGGGGCTCAATGCCCCAGCTGAAGCAGGGCAGGGTCCTGTTGGCAGAGCCCCCTTTGCTCAGGACATGGAGCTGATGAGGCTGATGAAGCCGGATGCTCCATCAATTCTTTTCCTCTCCCTTCCCCAGCTTTTTGGGAAAGGTTCCTTTGCTTTCATCTGGATGGTATTTTACCCCTGCGCTGTGGGTCCTGGCACCCAGCACTTTCGGGGGGGGGCTTCAGAAAGTCACACTGAAGCTGATCATGGTCTGGTTTGGGCTTCCCCAAAAGCAGGTCTTCTCCACGGTCGTTATTTTCTAATTTAGTGGATTTTTGCACCTTGCGGAGAAATCCAGGGCCAGAGCCGAGGGTGCTTCCCTTCCAAATGAACATTTTGTGCCACAAAGGGGTGTCACCCATCACCACGTTCCCCAGCCACCGTGGCCCCCCCGGCTCTGCCCCCACTGGGTGCTCAGCTGTCGGCAGAGGGTGGTGGTGGTGGTGCTGGCCACGGCACGGGCTGCTCGCTCACCCCTGCGATTTCACCACTTTTAAAAAGCAGCACTTCTGCAGTTAGCCATCTGGGGGACTCTAGCTCAAGAAGTGTTACAAACACTTTATTTATTTATTATTATTTTTTTAAGATTAGGAAGGATTGAGGCTTCTCGATTCAATTAGTTATTTTGAGAAAGTGACTTTTTTTTTTAACTATTCCTGTAGCGACTCAACCTAAAATTATTTGCAACTTTAAAATTTTATTTAAATTCCTATTTCATTGGTCAGGAGAACAGGACTTAACTTTGCAGCATGACTTGTGGAGAGGGTTGCAGCTCTGCAGAAGGGTCACAGGGGTGCCCAGGGGCCAGGCAGTGCCCTCCACTGTGGTGTCCCCACCACACCATCACCACACCATCACCTGCTCCAGCAGGTACCAGGGGCTCAGCGACACCTACCCTGTTAAAGCACTATTGATTTACTCGCATAACAATTCCAGCTTATAGCAGGGGTTTGGAGCTCTCTGTACTTCTTTTTATTGTGGTTTACAGGAAATTAATCTCTTGGGCACCTCGTGGGTTTTATGGCCTCATGGGGTGCCAGGTTTGTCGTCCCTGTGGTGGCACGGCTCCTCGCTGGGGCTTTGCAGCTTGTGCCTCCTGAAACACACAGGCACTCGCCTTTTTCAGCTGCTAATAATCCTACTAGTTAAAGCTTCTAGCCTTTTTTTTTTTGAAGCCTGCTGATTACTTAATGTGCCTTAATTAATCTTGTGTGGGAGCTAGAGCTTTCAGCACTGTGGGATCTCTGCCGCAGAGTTGTCCCCTTGGGTGCGGGGATGGATTAAAGTGCTTTTTGGAACTAGAAGCTGTGGGGGTTTGGGGTTTATTGCTTAAACAGGGCTCGTTGGTGTGGCGGAGTCTCCTGGGAGATGTGCTGAGACCTCGGTGGAGGCTGCTGGATTGGTTCACATTAGTCCTGGAGCGTTTCCGTAATTGCAGTGGGATCTGGGATGTGGAGCTTTACCAGCAGCTGCCTCTGCTGTGTGCTCTCATGCTTTGCAAGGTGCTATCACTGTAGTGATTTAAAGAAGAACCTCTTGTTACCCAGCCACCCCCCTCCAAAATCATGTGCTGTGAAACCCAGCTGCCCCCAGACTCTGTCCCTGCCCCACCAGCCTGCCCTTGCATGACCCTGGCACCCTCCTGCCTCCCCAAAGGGGACTGGGGGGGACGGTTTGGACACCGCTTCAATAGACAGCAGAGTTGAGAACAGTCCCAAGAATAAAGGTGGTACCAACCCCCCCATGGCTGAGCAGCACCTGGGCTCTGAAGATGATTTCATATTTTCTTTTCCTGCTCGAACGTGTGTGAAGGATGCTCAGTTTTGCACTTTCATTTCTGCGGAAGCCAGCCTATTTAGAAGAAAGCATAGCCCGTGCTTCAGGCGGCGAGTGTATTTACTGTATGGATAGCCTTTTTTTTTTTTGTATCAAAAACACCTTTCAGAGCGTAACCATATCCTGTTTTGCTGGTGCCACGCTCCACGTGCAGCTGGCGTGCGTCGCTGCCGGCATCCATCCTGCTTCCCGTCACTCCAGGAGCCCTTGCGTGCCACGGCTCAGCCCCTTCTCGGGGTGCGTGGGTGGGAGCCCCGGGGTGGGTGCCTTCCCCAGCTCGGCTTTACCGGCAGCTGAACCCCGAGCCGCGCCGTTCCCCGGTACAGGGTGCTCAGCAGCAGCTCTGGGCCTGACCCTCCCCAAACCTGCCCTAGTTGAGGCCACCAAAAATCAGGAGAACTTGGAGCTGGGACCAACTCGAAAAGATAAAATTTTATCTTATATTTTTATCTTACATAAATTATATTTTACCTTATACTTCCAATTTTTATGAAGCGTAAATTTCACAGAATCTTCTAGGTTGGAAGGGACCTTAAAGATCATCTTGTCCAACCGTCAACCTAACTGACAAAAATAGACACCCACACAACAAACAAGGAGCACCATCACTAAACCATACCTCCCAGCACGACATCAACCCATCTTTTGAACACCTCCAGGGATGGTGCCTCAACCACCTCCCTGGGCAGCCCATTCCAATGGCTGATAACCCTTTCAGTGAAAAAATTTTTCCTAATATCCAGCCTGAACCTCCCCTGGCGCAACTTGAGGCCATTTCCTCTTGTCCTGTCGCCTGGGACTTGAGAAAAGAGACTGGCCCCCATCTCTCTACACCCTCCTTTCAGGGAGTTGTACAGAGCAATAAGGTCTCCCCTCAGCCTCCTCTTCTCCAGGCTGAATAACCCCAGCTCCCTCAGCCTCTCCTCATAAGACTTATTCTCCAGACCCCTCACCATCTTTGTCACACTTCTCTGGACCCGCTCCAGCACCTCAATGTCTTTTTTTATGGCAGGGGGCCCAAAACTGGACACAGTACTCAAGGTGAGGCCTCACCAGTGCCGAGTACAGGGGGACAATCACCTCTCGGGCCCTACTCGCCATGCTGTTCCTGATACAGGCCAGGATGCTGTTGGCTTTCTTGGCCACCTGGGCCAGTTCATTTAAGCTTTGTGACCTTGCGGGAGATCCTCAGACAGAAAGAGCTGAGGTATTTCTGGTCTGCACTGGCAGTCCTTAACAGAAATAATGCCAAAGAATAGATCGTGTGTCTGTCTGCTCTCCCCGTGGCTGGTGATGTTTTGCTCAGTGATGACCCAGGAGGAGCCTGGGGAAGGGCAGGAGCTTGTTTGCAGAGGAGGAGCTGGTACAAGACCCCAGCCCTGCTGCCTGGGGTGTGATGGGCTCTCACCCACAGCTCCCAGCTTCATAAAATTGTCTGGGATGGAAGGAACCTTTCAGATAAGTCCAACCATCAACCCAACACCAACAACAAAAAAAACACTAACCCGTGTCCCTCAGCACCACGTCTACCTGGCTTTTAAATACCTCCAGAGATGATGATTCCACTGTGTCCCCGTTCCAGTGCTTGACAACTCTTTCAGTGTAAAAAGTTTTTCCTAATATCCAATCTCCTGGTGCAACTTGAGGCCATTTCCTCTTGTCCTATCACCTTGGGAGAAGAGATTGACCCCTCCTGGCTATAACCTCCTTTCAGGGAGTTGTAGAGAGTGAGAAGGTCTCCCCTCCATCTCCTTTTGTCCAGGCTGAACATTCCCAGCTCCCTCAGCCTCTCCTCACAAGACTTGTTCTCCAAAGAACATGGAGCCAGGGGTGCAGCCGTGCTGCTGTCACCACACCAAGGGCCAAAAAGTTCTGAATTTTTCTCCCTGGCCTCCATGCTTGCCATATCTGCCTACAGCAGGGAAAGTTTCTTTAAAAAAAAAAACAAAACCAAAGCCACCCACAAAACCAAAAGACCAACAAAAAAGCCCCATTAAGAGGAGCGAGACTGAGTGATTAGTGTGGCTATTCCTGCCGGAAAGGACTCACTGGCTGCTGCAAGGTTGAGGGCTGGTTCTTGGAGGAGAGCTAACCCCTACAGTGCCAAACGTGGCCCTGGCACTGACGTAGAGTTCCCCAAACCCTCTCCCTTGTGCCATGAAGAGGACTCTGCAGCACGGGAGGGACTGATAAGTCTCTAAAATGCGTCTGTCACATTGAGCACCAGTGACTTGGGCTTCACAGGGTGTTGCTGGCTGAGCCCCTGAATAAAAAAATTGGACTTGGGTCTGATGAAATCATGACTGTCTGGAAAAATCGCTCCCTGGCTCGGCTTGGTTTGCAGCAGCAAAATTTGCTTTCTGTGGGTTTAGGTAGCGCTCAGAATCCAAGCTGTTGGTGTGTTTGTTCCTCTTCCAGGTGCAGCCCTTTCCCCTCTCCCCACCACGAGGTGGGTGGATGGAGCAGCAGCTCGTTGCCAGCGGTGGTGGCCACCAGCCCTGTGCCAAAAACCAGCAGAGCCCAAGTCTCGTTACTGGGTGGGTGGTGTGAGCTCTTGCCGAGGGCTGAGTGGTTTTCCAGAGGCAAAGTCACTTTGCTAGGGCTGGGCTGGAAGCATGTGGTCATGGAGGGAGGAAAAAGGTATTTTTAGCAAAGAGAAAAGTGATCTTCCCTCTTTCTTGTGGGGCCCTAGAAAGTGTTGCGCACAAGAGACGACTTCTTGGATATTCCAAAATACTGTGTAATTTTAGGAATATAAGTGTAGCGTGTGTGCAGGGGTGTTATGTGCATAGGGATGGACTCATGTATATAGAAGCAACCCAGCAGTTGTAGTCAAAGCCAGTTGTAGAGAATTAAGCCCTATAGAATAATTAATTGCAGCCCCTCGCCCTTCCCATGAGGGTGTTTCTGGAGCCCTCCTGACGGTATGTCTTGCTGGGCAGGAGACCACCACAGCCAAAAATCCTCACCAGCAGCTGATGGGTCTGAGCTCTTGGGCAGGCTGAGGATGCCTGGCATCTGATCCCAGAGCATCCTGCTGATGCAGGGTCTGGAATTACCTGGAAATTTCCTTTGCCTGAAAATGAATGAGGCTAAAGCACAGCATGAGGGTTATTACTGTGTGAATAAAAGGTTTAATGCCCACAGGTAATGGCTGTGTGAGAGAAATCCTGAAAAGCTCTTAATTCACCCCACCCTCTCCTTCCCCACACGTCAGCTCCCAGTCCCTTGCTCTCCCTTCTCTTCCACCTTGAGCTTTTCCCTTGTAAGACATTAGCTCACACCTTGGCAAAGCAAATCCTCAACTTTGCAGCTTTTTACCTAAATCTTCCTAGGGACGCTGTAGAGCCAGGTGTCCCCCAGCCTGCTCTGACCTGCTGCCCCCCACAGCCCCCTCAGCTCTTATATCTCTGTACTGGGGACCAGCAGCATCCCTGTCTGTCTGTCCCCCCTTCTCCATGCAGCATCCAGGTGTCAGAGCTCTCTGTTGACCCCAGATCCCCATGGTTTGAGTCCCGGTGCCCAGCCAGGGAGTTTGTGGTGGTGATGGAACCTGGTGGACTGTGATAAAACAGGAGGGCTGGCAAGCGGCTTGTGGCCTCTGAAGGGTGGAAAGCGCTGGTCTGCACTGGAAAAGGATGTTTCCTCAGGGTTTGGTTTGTGTAAAACCCAGCAAAATCCTTGCTATTCAGCAGATCTAACCCAAAAAGGGACTTTTTCTGCTATATTTCCCATGCAGCCCGTGGTGCAGGCAGCCCGAGTCAGGATTGCTCTTGTGTTTCCAAGTGACAGATTAGCAAGAGTTTCTGCTTTGCTTTCTCTTTCCTGTTTTCCTTTTTGGAAGGGGAAAGCTGCATTGCAGAAACTTCAGAAGAGCTGTGCAATCTGAAAACAACCTGACAAAGTCCCAGAAGTAACTGGAGCTACTGGGAAACCTGGAGCTGCCGGTAAGGTCGGAGCTGCAGTCTGGGCTTTGCGGTCGGTCAGCAGGACTTATAAATATCTAGCTGTGGTTATTGAGGGCTGCCTACATGTCCACCCCAGCTCCTCGGGGTTGTGCTGTTCCCAAAAGACACTCACAGGTTAAAACCACCTTCCCAGTTAAGGTGCTGGTGGTGTCACTTGTCCTCTCTGTGGCAGCTGCCCGGAGCTGGGATTTGCCAGCCACGGCATCGATGAGGTTTTGCTTGGGTTTCCTGTTTTTCCTGCGCACGCTGCTGGATTTGTGCCATCTGAAGTAGCTTTTTTTTCAGCCCTGAAAACTCTTTTCTCCCCCCTCCTTCCCCAAGCAAATAAGGAACACATGTCCTTTTGTTATTCTTATTTATTATTTTTTATTTTTGTGAGAGGAGATTTAGGACAGAGCGAGCTGCAGGGCAGTGTGTTTTCTGCCCGTCTGGGTGTTTTCTGCCGGTCCCTGGCACTCTGTAAGTACCAAAGCAAATTCCTCTGGGTTGTCTGCATCTCCCCTCATCATTCTGTGACCAGCCTTGGACAAGTGCAGGGTAAACCACCACCGTCTCTTCCCAGAAATGCTGCACGGGTTGGAAATGTACATCCAAACATCAGCAAAGCTGTTTTCTATCAAACCTCCTCTGCCTACGTTTACTTTTTGGCAGGGTTTTTCGGCGTCGCAGTCATAGATGCTGTAACCCACAGGAAGGAAACCCCTTAGCCCTAGTGCTGGCTGTTGTGCGAGGGACTGTAGTGGCCACGGGGCCTCTCTGAGCCCCAAACTGGGGTACCCCCCCTGTAAATTGTACCATTGCTCTGAGAGCAGATGTGGTGCATATTGCGACTATTTACAAGCACTTAAAATAATACCCATGATGCTAAAATACATGTCGAGATTATTTTATTTCCTCCCAAGTCTGAAGCCTTAAGGATGCGCTCGGGTCACTTTTGTAAACTTTTCTCGGTACCCAGTGAGGGCTGGGACCTTTTCTGATTTTTAAAGCAAAACTGAGAGGCTTGGGTAACATCTTAATCTACGACCACAGGCTTTAGCAGAACGCCAAATAACACAAGACTCTGAAAAACAGCACAAGACACAGCAATGCCAGCTACTACCCTCCCTTCTCCCACTCATCCCAGCTCTCTGCGAGCAAACATGCCCTGGGAGATGTCCCTCATCCTTCATCCTTTTTGCTCGTGGTATATCCAGTCACAGTCTGTCTTCCAAGTATTCGTTCCCCCCATCATCAGCTGAGCATCCCGCAGCTCCCGGGAGCCAGGTGCCCTCCCTTGCTCAGCTCTGGGTGCATGATCTGTTTGAGAACTCCCTTTAACACTGATGTGGCTATAGATTAATACTCTTTGCTTGATATAAGCTTGATAAAGGTACTCTTGCAGTCCAGATTAGGCTAGATTAGGTCTAGAGGATTTATATTATTTATTTTTTTTTTGCAATGGAAAGAGGTTCATTGTACATGGAGAGAATTAACTGTCCTGATATAAAGCCTCACGCAAGCGTGGTGGATGCTGCAGTTGTCATGGTCTGCAGGTACCTGCAGTTGGGGCTGAAACTGGTGATACCTCCCTGAGCTGTGCTGAGGCTGAGCTGCCTGCTCACAACACAGGATTCAGGAGGATTTTCAAAAGTGACAAATACGTACAAGCACTGAAGCAATGGGAATGAGAGGGACCCGAACCTGGTTGCAGTTCAGCACAGGAGAAATACTGGCATCAGGGACAGCTGTTTTGGGTATTTTAACAATATGATGTTGTCCATCATGATAAGACAAACAGTCCCCAGCAGCAACAACGCTACCAGCAAACCTTGGTTGTTTGTTTTTTTTTTCATGAAAATGTCCTTCTAGGTCAGATTCTGGCATCTGTTGCACACAAAGGTAATTCAAGGTGTGTTTGGAGACCTAACGCAATCTTCACTCAAGCTTTGAGAAGCACCTATACGGAGAGAAATGGCTTATGTTTCAAGAGATGGACTCCAGCAGGAGCTCGTCGGGCGGCATCGGGGGGATTTCCATGCTGTTTATTCGGCCAAAGAACTTAGGAAGGGACCAAAACTTAAAGCGTGGAAGATTTCTCCTCTTCATGCGAATATCGTGGCCGGTTTCGGTGACGGAGAGGTTGCTCCCGCGGCGGGTGAACCGAGCCCGCAGGGCGGCACAGCTGTGGCGCAGGAGCTGGTCCTGGAACTCGGAGGTCATGAAGTAGTAGAGGACAGGATCCAGGCAGCAGTTGAGGCTCGCCAGGCAGAGGGAGATGGGGTGGAAGCGGAGCGTGATCCAGTGAAAGGTGCAGTCCTGGATGATGTTCTCTATCACCATCATGAAGAAAGGGAAGTTGATGTGGTAGGGGGTGAAGCAGATGAAGAAGACGGCCGCGCACATCAAGACCATGCGCAAGGCCTTCTGCTTCTCGCTGGTGTTTTGCAGCTGGGTTGGACAATCCCGCAGGGACTGCCACATCTTCCAAGTGCAGCAGGCAATGATGCCGAAGGGGATGCCAAACCCAAACAGCTCGGCCACCGTCACCATGGCGATGGAGGCTCCTGGGCTCAGCTGCTTCACCCCCAGGTCTGAGAAGCACGTGTTTGTGCTCTTGGACAAGGCTGGGCTCCTCACCACGAGCAGGGGGAAGCAGGCTGCCCCCACAAAGAGCCAGACAGCAGCGCTGATGGCCGCGTCGTACCGCCGCTTCCAGTCCTTGGCTTTGAAGGGATGGAGGAGGAAGAGGTACCGCTGGATGCTGATGCAGGTGAGGAAGCAGATGCTGGCGTACATGTTGAGATACTTCAGGTAGAAGCACACCTGGCAAAGAAAGTTTCCAAATGGCCAGGTGTGGTTTATGTAGTAATACATCCGTAAGGGCAGCGAGAGGACGTGAGCCAGGTCGGCCACAGCCAGGTTGATCATGAAGATGATGGCTTTGCTCTTCTTGCTGATGAAGCGGCACAGGACCCACAGGGCAGCGCTGTTTGCCAGGAGGCCGGGGATGAATATGATGGTGTAGGTGGCTGCGTACAGAGTGGACTGGAAGGACATCTGGGGGTGGGTACAGTTCCCGGAGGACACGTTGGTCTCCATCTCAGCTGAGTGTCTTTGCTCATGGGGTAACAAAAGTATGCGGAGGGATTCTGTCAGGAGTAAAAACAGATGATGTAAAGCCAAAAACTTTCCAGTATTTCCCTACATGGAGTAAATGTGCTTCAGTACAGAAGAATAAGTTGTGTGTAGGTGTCTGCAGAGTGTGTGTGTGCAGGTGTGTGTCCAAGGTGGGATGTGTGTGTGTGTTGGGGAGGGTGCAGAGCCAGACCCCACTTACAGGCAGTGATCCCGGGCATCTTCCACTCCAGCTCCTTTCAGATGTGCTCTGCAGAACTTTGGACCCTGCCACCCCCTAAGGTGATGCCTCAACTACAGTGACATTGCAGCTGAGCTCTGTATTGCCAGCTTTATTGCCAGATTATTATATAATCTCTTTATAAGCCAGAGAGCTTCTTGAGTTTTTTTTCAAGACCACTTTTATTGCATATAGTTGTCTGTCAAACCCCCATCAAATTAGCACTCTCTGATATGTCTACAAGCAATTTCAGTCGGATTGTAAATAAATAGGGACTTTAAATGGGTCTAGACACAGTCCTTTTGGATCTGTGCAGTGGGCTGATGTGAATCGGCAGCGAGGGCAATAATTAGCATCAGCAAACGATGGTGCTGGCAGGCAGCCGACCCGAGCAGAGGCCGGAGGGAGAGGTGCAGACAGATCTATCAGAGCTCTGGCTCCAGATTTAAGGCTGGATTTATAAGCTAATAGCTGGCCGAACACACGCCAGTTGCTCTGCCGGTCCTGCTAACTCAATTCCAGCACTCATGGCACATTGTGCAGGCATCGTGTTGTAGCAACAGCAATTATCCTCCAGCAACGGTTCAGGACATGAAGGAAGATAAATACATCTGCCTTTTAGTTAGAGCAGAAACTCTTTTCATCCATTTACCCATTTCGCCTCGGCCAGCTGGCACTGAGGGTATCAGTGGGTCACAGGGAGTTCACAGGTACTCACGCAGCTCACCGGAGAGGTGATGGATTTTGCCACCTGTGAGCAGAACTCACAGGGAAACGGTCTGTTTTTTTCAGGAAGAAGTGATTCAGTTACAAACCAAGGGCCTGGAGCATCGTTTGCAACAAAAGAAGAGTGATTTCCCCCTTGGAAACGGAGCCTGTAGCTGCCTGTGAGGTGATGGGGAGCCTGTGCTTCTCGTTTGGGAGAGCAGAGCCTGATCTGGCAGAGCCCTGAGCACCTCTTGCCGTGGCCACCGAGCCTCTTGACAGCAGCATTTAATTAAGAAGCAGCCAGAAGTGCTGTTTCCTGCAAGGATGGGTTTCTAAAAGGCAATCGCTTACGGTGGGGACCAGGCTTCTGCGCAGAGCCTGGTATCGCTTTGAGGTGCGGGATGAAGGCTCCTCTACCCTGCTCCTCCTCACCTAGGCAGCTCTTCAGAAGTTGTCATCACATTTCCAGTTTTAGGAGGAATGTTATATATATATTTATATAAAATATATATCCAGCAGCCTCCAATACAGGAAGGGTGGGTGTGTTTGCCCACATTTCTGTGCCCGTGCAGGGCTTTATGCCCTGGTTTCTGAACTGAGCCCTTGCCAAACTCTTTTCTCCCGTTTGCTGATTTCTTCAGGGTTTTGGCCACAAAAGAGTGAGGCTGAAGTGGAGCCCGGGCTGTGAGGCTGGTACATATTTTGGCTGCTGACTCTCCTTGAGCCAGCAGCCCTGGGTCAGTGGCTTCCGATTTCTCCATCGAGCCGGGACAAGGCAGGGGAGTGGGGACATCTCTCACCTCCCCATGAGGACAGCAGGGAACCAACAACCCCTTTGGTCCCTGTAGAACCCCCACGTGTTCCTCACCTGCCTGAAAACCCATGAGGGGCTTGTGCTTGATGCTGGTCCTGCTCTCGGCCAGTGTCCTTTGCACTGTATCTGTCTAACCCTGGAAAAGTGGTGGTAGGACACCTTGTCTTCACACCCCTGTGGAAAGCAGGGAGGGAAAACCGCCAGGGAGCATGGGCAATGCAGCTATTCCCCAGCCTTCCAGTGACAGAGATGACACTTGCTGATCTGGGCTTGTGAAAAGGGTTATAGAGTTACCCCAGCATCCTTATCCTGCCATCTCCTCCCTACTGTGTGTCTCAGCCCGAATCCTAAACCTTGTCCCTGCAGACGTGACCGTGGGGAGCCTCCTTGCTGTTCTTTTTTTTTTTAGCTTTCCCTGGGAGTGCCTGTTTCTCACTGAGGGACCTGGGTGTCACTCCTGGTACCTAACACTCAGTTTTTAGGTGATGGCGCTTGTCAGGGCACCTGGCAGGAAAGGAGCAGGGAGCTCCCTGCTGAGACGCTGCCAGCCCCAGCTCAGGCCACAGTTTGTTCACTGCAATGCTTCCTGAGAGGGTGGATTTTTTAATTTGTTATTGTTTTTCAGTTTTCCCTTTCTCTCCTGCCTGCGCCTTGCCCCAAAGTCCCCCAGGTCCCCTTGTGTTTAGGTGTCAGTGGTATTGATGTTGGGGCAGAAATGCTCCCGTAGGCTTTGGCGGGGGTTTTGTTCAGCCACTTTATAAAGCTTGTAGGAAATACTCCCTACCATTCCTTGATTGTTTCCCTATTTCATGGATTTATACATAGGTGTGAGCAAGGTGGGCTTTTTTTTAAGTGATAAAGCTGAGTTTTACCCAGCTGCGTGCCGAAATTACAGAAGGGAGCCTGGTGTTGCTGCCAGAGGGGCGAGACCACTGGTGGTGGGTGCAGCGCTGCAATTCATTAAACATCAAGTAACTTTGCAATTAATTAGGAGGTTAAACCACCCCTGTTTTCTTTTTTTTTTTTTTCTGAACATGTTAGCAGTCTGTGCTCCTGGAGGCGTATGTGGCTGTCATTATTGGAAATAGCCCGGCTACTCTGAATCACCCTGCGCCCCACCCAGCCCCACATCGCTGCGGTATTGCATTTACTACTCCCAGACTCGCTGGCAGGCTTGTCCTCATCTTTTCCATGGGCTGGTTGGATTAAACCAGGCTAAAGTTGTGCTCCAGGGGCAGCCGGGACAAGCCCTGGTTCCCCTGCTCCAGAGCTGCCTCCCTTCAACCCCGCTCAAGCCTGGGATGCTGGAGGGAAAAGCAATCTTAAAAAAAATAAATATATAAATATATAAAAAATTCACTTTTGGCTTGAAAATAGCTCTGGGTTTGAAGTAGTGGAAGCTCTCTGGCACTTGTGTTTTAAGCAATAATGTTGTTTGTTTAATCTAGGCACTAATAGGAAATGCGCAAACAGAGCTGGTGGGTTATGGCAGCTTCTGTCAGTAACAAAAAAAAAAGAATAAATAAATTGAAGTATTTTTGGGTAAAACAAGGCTTTCCCCATGTACTGCTGCGCACAGCAGCCCGCTCGGATGCGCCGAGCTCTGCTCACCCACCCCTCAGAGACAAGCGAGACAGAAATACGTAGGCACAGCCAGAAGCTGCTGGGGGTGTCGTACTGGCTTCTGTCTGATAAGATCTCTTGAAGAAGGCAAACCAAAAAAAAAAGTGATAAAGTTGCTCAAAACTGCAATAGCTTCAACCTACCGAAGAAAAGACACAGCAGAAATCAAGCTTACCTTCCTGTGGCTCCCATCCTTCAGGGGGGTGACATCCATGCTAGAGAGCGGGAGGAGCGAGCTTTCTGCTTTTATTTCCTACGGGTTTTTGCAGCAATCCCAGCGCCTCCTCGTTAAACTTCCACATGTTTTCGGAGCGCTGGAATCCTGCCGGCATCTGCAGCCCAGTACAGTGGCTGCGGAACAGGAAATCCTGTATTTTGTTTCTCATCACCGCGCAAAACTCTGCGAAGCAAATGACATTATAAAAAAAAAAAAAAAAAATAATTGGGAAGGCAATGACGTCGTTTCATCCAACTGCCGGGCGACAGGGAGCTCGGACACGGATTTTATTTTTTTTTTCCTCCCCTTTGCACAGAAGTTGGGTTTAGGTGACAGTGTCCTCGGGTTGAGCTGCTTCTGCTTCTATCCCCAGTCACTTGCCATTTGCTTCCTTAAACACTATAAAATACAGAAGCGAGTATCTTCCAATAAGTGCTCGCTGAAGGAAAACTGAGAACGGTGCCAGTGCAAGTTACTGGAAAGTGGTAATTTTCCTTCATTTTCTTGGAAATTTGGTTAGCCTCAGACTATCAAGGCTATAGGCTGAAGCTAAGGGTTTAGACTTTATTTCTGAAATAATATGATGGTTTAAGGTGGAGATTTTCCCAAAATACTGTTGTTTAAAAAAAAACTTAAAGTGCATCATTCCTAGTTTCTTTTTTCTTTTTGCCTCCTTTAATTCCTTTCCCGTATATATATATATATCTATAACTCTTAGTTCTTTTACTGCCTGCTAAGCATGACTTCTTTCTGAATTGCTGAAAACTGGCAGGCAGATATTGTAGTGTAACTTATTGTGAGCTGCCTCATTTCCAGCTGAAGGGTTTTATGTGATGCACAGTGTCACACCTAACGCCCAGGGTTTGCGAAGATAATCTGGGTGTTGGTGCCTTTTCCTTCCTTGCTGTAGGTAATGTATAAATAGAACTGTTCTTCCTCTATTCATCCATTTTCTGTAATTGGTCCTATGACCCCGCAAAATTTACAGAAATGTAACTGTGGGAGAGAAATGAAAGAAGGAAGCTATTATAACCTTTAATTGCAGAATAAGTTGCCAGCTCAGGGTATGGGATTAAGCGGGCATCTTTCCCCCCGGCAGCTGAGCCCAGTGGCTCTGCTGGCTGTGCAATGGACAAGGTTCTTCTGTGCTGGCAGTGATGGTGACCACGGGGACCTGAGCGTGCTCCCCTGCCATGAAGTGGTGCTTCACGACAGTAGCGTAGAGGATGAAGAGGATCCTTGACCTGGAGTGTCCCGTCACCAGTGGAGATGCAGTTACTTAAGTCTGTTGGTCAACATCCTCATGAAGGCAAAGGCAAGACCAGTTCATACACCAGCCTTTACAGACATATTTATGGGCTGCCTCATTATCACTTGCTTACCCATCATGTACACGTGGCCTACTGGCAAATAGAAGCGTGGGGCATCACAGTTACTTCATCTCAGCTGAGAGCAAAGTGATTTGGAAGGTACAAGAGCTGTTTATCATTCCAGCTTTTCTTCTTGTGCACCTTTTTTTTTTTTTTCAGCAGTTGCCCCTGATCCCTGCAAGAAAGAACAACTCTTGTGTGTTTTCAAAACGTTCCCAGATTTGCAGAAGGGAGGCTGGCATTGTGCCCCGTCCCTCTCCGGAGGTTAAAGATTTATCCCAAAGTGCAGTGGCTGTTTTATCAGGATATCCTGCCTAAGACATCCTACTTCTGTGCCCACCCCACATGTCCAGTGCCATATGCAGCCATCTCTGAGCCTTATTTTTAGGTACATGTTTCCCACAGGGCTGCAGGGGAAGGAGAGGTCAGTGTGTGTCAGACGGTAGTAAGAGACTCCCACCTCAGGTTTCCTAACGACATCAAGTCCTTCCTCTGCTCATCGGCTATTTATTGTATTTTTGCAGAAGATCCAAGCCTTCCTGGTTGTGAAAAGTTGATGGATTGACAAGCCTCAAGCCTCTGCCTTCAACCAACCTTTCCCTTCTTCTTCGATGGTGTGCATATTTTTATTTAGCATTTCTGCTCTTTTGGCTCGTTACTGACACTAAACGTGCAATTTTACACTATGCTTTCAAAGGCAGAAGACACAAAGGGATTTTTAACTAACTTTTTAACTTTATCTAAGACCTCCAGATAAAGGTCGTCTTTGCCTTTAGCCTGGTATCCTGTGGGCAGGCGGCCAAATGCATACCATCAGCATCTCTTTGAGCACTCAGCATTTAGAAATATCTGACAGGATGCACCTGAAGGATGTATGAAAAACAGCAGGCCATTCAGGAGGAGGAGGTTTTACTCACACAAAGGAACTCACCCTTGTGCAGAGACTTGCTATGGCTCGAGCGGAGCCCTCGGCACGTGGCCCCGTGGGGCTGGGTGAGTCCCTGGTGCCCCACGGCACATAGTCCTCCGTCACCACTGCACAGTGGCCTCTACAGCAGTAGCATTTTGGGAAGCTTTGATTTATTTTACGGCAAATACTTGTTGGTCACTCGCTATCTTTTCAAGCTAAGCCCCTGTGTAATCCACAGACCCAGCGTTTTTGATCAAAATGCACTAGTCATAGCCCCAAAATCTGTTAAACGCAACGAAGGGTTTTTGTAGCTGGCTGGTTTTGAGCTGGCTCCTGGTTGTTGAGCTGTTGTCCTGCATTTACAGCATCTTTTGTTTTTCCTCTGTGTAGAGAGACGGTAATTTCATTTAAGGAAAGAAAATGAAGCTGAGGTACTCATGAGATCCTGCAGCTCAGAACCTGAGGCTGCAGAAAGGCATTGAATCTCATGGGGTTTCTTTCCAAAGACATTTGCTGTCAAGAGTGGGAGGGCCCTTTCTCAAGCAGGACAGGAATTACTAGACCTCTGATACCAGTTAAAATGGGGTGATGGGGGGACCCTTTGCTGGCACTGCAAGGAAACACGTTTTCTTTTGCTAACAGGTGAATGGCTTGTGTGCACGAGAAGGAGAGTATGTCATGCCATAGTTTTGCCTGGGGCTGTGCCATCGGGGATGTGCACTGCTGTCAGTGTGGGTGGCATGGAGACCTCACCGCGTTTCCACCCTGAGCAGTTCCCTTTGGGATGAGGCTTGACGTAGGGTTGCTCCAGCACTGGGTGCCAGGGGAGCCCTTCAGATCCATCCTTCACCAACCTGCGTAGCTGTACCCACCCATTTAACCCAGTTAACCATTGGGTTAACTTCTGCCTTTCTGTGGCATCTCTGCTGAAAGACCTATTTTTGTGTCTGCCCAAGAAGGATGGCTTCTTTTTATAGGTGGTGAGTCTGGGCAGTGGAACCAGCACAAGAGATAATCCAGGAGCAACATCATGACATTGTATTTCCTCTTGTCAAGATAATAAACATGTTTTGTGGTCACAGGAAAGGGGGAGAATTACAGGAACTGGAGCTGGGCACATTGTGCCTTTGGAAGTGTGAGAGGAGAGTGCTGGAAGACAAAGCCAGCATCTGCAGCCCCAGGTTTTGTGTTGCATCCAGCACCTCCCAGCTGTGAGGGCAACCATAATACCATCCTCCTCAACAGTAGCGCTGGATTGGACTGTGCTTCTCCTGTGACACACTGCTGAGGTTTTGGAGGGCTTGAACTAAAAGGTTTGAGTTTCACATATGGGCTTGTGGATCCCAAACTGACAGCCTTTGACTTTCTACATGCTTTCAGAAGATCACAAGTTTTCCTTGATCTCTTTTTTATTTCGAGTTGTTGCTCTCTAGGCTCACTTGCCATCATGACCATCTTGGCTAACTTTCCGTTGTGGTTCAACCCCATCCGGCAACCAAGCACCACACAAACAACTTAACTCTATCCCGGCCAAAACCAACACACTTTCCCATGCACCAGAAGAGACCGTTAGACCAGGTTGTCCAAACTCCTGCACCTCAAAGTGATTTGACTTGAGAGGCTAAAGTTTTGATTTTGTGACTTTTCCTCACAGGCTGGGGCTGCAATATGTAAAAAGGACTATTTGGTTGGGGTCTAAGGGAGCTCAGAGGGTGAGTGAGGCAGGAATACAGGGGGGAGAACATGAGCAGCTGAGGTATTGGGGATGCCATCATGGTAATGACGGAGAACGTTATCCCTTGTAAAGCCACCGAATTTCTTGTTAAGATTGAGTGGGAGAGCCACCACTACTATTTGGACATTCAGATGCTGGAGCAGGTATTCCCATGTTGGGTCCACGTTATAACTTTCAGTATGTAGGGGATTGTAGTGACCAATTTCTGTTTTACCTGTCTTGTCAGCAATGGTGTGAGGACTTTTTTAAGCCCTGTAGATTTGGATCTGCGAAATGATCGTTGAGTGAGATAGAGAGACGTGGTTTCTGTGGTCCTGGCTGCACATAGGGATGATAGCAATCACTTCCCCTCACCCAGTAATGCACCACTGGCACCACAGCTATTCCCAGGGAGGGCCTTTCTCTCCCCAAAATACTTGTAAATCTGGTGGAAGTGTTGCAGTTTTTAAAAATCCAGTAAAAATAAACACCAGTCATACTAGAGTGGGGTGAAAACCTTTCCGTAGACAAGGAAGCAATCTGTTTAAGAGTAATAAAAGTTGATGTCCTCCATCACTTGAACACTTTGCTTCAAGGAGGAGCTGATCCCATTCAGTTTTCTAGGTATAATTGATAACTATGAAACTCAACTTATGTTTGCAAAAATGTATTTATTTTTAGGCATCAGTTTTTGAAAAGAAAAAAATGTAGGACAAGCTACACAGTTACCATAACAGTTCTTTCAAACTTGTTTTCACCTGATAAATGGACAATTGTATGAGAGAGAAATCAAAGTAAACAGCTCCCAGTCACATTCTAGCTGATCAAGGTCCATAAAAATCCTCAAAATAATCATTGAAAGTCTCTTTCACAAACGTTTTTATGCAGCGTCTAGCTTATGAGAAAATTGCTATATTAACAAAAATGTTCTTATGCACGTTTAACGGTGTACTTGAGCATCAGCCTCTGGTCACATTTTTAAAGGGACTGCTCGCAGTGTGTAAACAACTGTGTGTGTCATTGACATAACAAACTGCCAATTAAATTGGAGAAAACATTTCCATTGACTTCAGTGGGAGATGAACTATTTGCTTACTCTGCAGCTTTTTTCAACAGAAAACCGGACAAACCTGCAATAATACTCTCTCTGTGAAAGTTACTTCTTTCAGATAGGGATAGTTTGGTGGTTTCACTTATTTGCATGTAAGATTAAGTTTACTGTACTGTAGCCCATAATCATCTTCTCACAAATGAGAGAAGAACTGCAAAAGCTCATTGTATTTAATCAGTAAGTTCACTGTCTTTTAGAGGAACTCCAGTATAATGGTTATTTAAACCTAGCTATTGTTTGCTTTTTCCCATTTTATTGTAAAATAGTCAAATGGGAAAACATAATATGCAGGAAATTTTGGCTGAGCTGGGAACTGAGTAGTTAGATTTAAAATACACTTAGTGAATGTTGCTGGTATTTCTTCTATTTTTGCAGAAACATGTAAGATGCTGCCACTGGTGCCTACTGAGAATTGTACATATTCTTTTTGAAAAAAAAACCACAAGATTTTAAAGGCAGTAAATCAGTGCCTGTGTTCAGCCAAAACAACCTCAGCTGTCATGGAGATACTCTTGATGCTACACAAAGTGTGTGAACTTGGCCGAAAAGTTGTCACTAATTTGAAATAAGGGGTCAATGGCATCCTTTCCTGTTACTGCTTTTCTTATCTTCATAACCAATGAAGTTATTAAAATGTAAACATTAAGGTCATGGGAGGAGTTGGTAGAAAAAATCATGATGAATAATCTACATAAGAAATTAGCCTATGCTCTATTAGTGAAATCACCATGGTGAGGACACCTCTCTTTTTAAAAAGATGTTATCAATTGGACCTATAGAGCAGAGATTTCACGGGGTGGATCCATCACAGGTACCTCTGAGCTGAAGAAGCCATGCGAGGATTTGAATGGTGCCTCCAGAGTCATCAAATCCAATGGTGCTGATGCTGAGTCCCGCTGTGCCCAGTCTGAGGCGCGCTCCCAGTGGTCCTGCCCCTCAGGGTCTGAAGGTGAAGGCCACCTACTGATGCCCTCCTTGCCCCCCGGAGGGGAAGAAAGTCACTCAGAGCAAGGGAAGGTCCTATTCTCTGGGGTGTTTGAGGAGTTGTCAGGAGAATTTGTTTTGCAGGGGGTCTTGCACCAGCTGTAGGTACAAGTTACGGGATGCGTCACCAATTAAGGAGCAAAATTAAGGGTGAGAAGGAATTAATGAAAGAGAGTGGGGTGGGGAGTGCAGGAATGGTGAAGCAGAGGTAAGTTTGGTGACCAATGGGATGCACTCAAAGCTGGGGCTGCTCTGCTGAAGCAAGCTGCCAACCTTCATGCCTCTGCAGCCCTGAGTGTGGAGACCAAAACTGCCATTTATTGTTACTGGCCGTTTTCAGGTTCTCATATACGTTGTGTGTTTTTAGCAAAGGCACTTCAGTGTATGTCAGTGGATGGATGTGGGATTGTCTTTGGCTTGATGATAGAGCCATGGAGTTGGGGAAACAGAAGAAAAGTTTCTGAGACTTTTCCACCATCTCCTAGCAAAAGTTTTGTTGCTCCCTCCTATCTTTTCTAGTCCAGGGAGGTCAGGCCTGGGTGGCACGGCTGTAGGTGTAGTCATGAGTTGCTCATTAGCTTCCAACACATTGATCTTAAATAGAGTTTTATCTTCTATGTATCAAAAGATTTCCACTGCCACAAAAATCCCCCAAGTAAACTTGCAGGATCTTCCACAACGGAGCAGGTAATTGAGTATCACAGAACAGTCCCAGATCTCTTAATAATTCTCTCTTAATTCTTTTCAGCTGGCTTTCTTGTCATTCCTTAATTGATGAGGCGCTCTCTTTGCTCATGAGCCGACTCCTGATGACCATGCTGCTGTGCCTTGATATCTGGTCTTGAAACTCTGAAGTCATAAAGAAATAGAGGATTGGATCCAAACAGCAGTCCAGACTCGCAAGGCATAAGCAAAAGGGCTGGGTGTAGAGTGTGATGGCGCTCAGGACGCAGTCTGTAATGACCTTTTCTTTCACCAACATGTAGAAAAAGAAGTTGATGTGGTATGGTGCAAAACACACGCAGAACACAATGGCACACATGGAAACCATCCTTAAAGCCTTCCGCCTCTCGTTGCTGTTTTGCATCGGTATCTGGAAGTTCTGGAGAGAGTCTTTTGTTTTCCAAGTACAGAATAAAATAATGATGAGCGGGATGATGAACCCCAAGAGCTCCGCTATGCCTGTCATGAACACGGTGCCCACCTTGCTCTCGATCTGCCGAACTTCAAGGTCGGCAAAGCAGGTATTGGTGCTGTTGGCCATGCCGAAGTTGCGCATGATGGGGAATGGCAAGCACGCTACCCCCACGAAGAGCCACACCACGGCACTGATGGCTATGTCGTACCGCCGCTTCCAGTCCTTGGCTTTGAACGGCTGATACAGGAAGAAATACCTCTGGATGCTGATGCAGGTGAGGAAGCAAATGCTGGCGTACATGTTGAGGTACTTCAGGTAGAAGCACAGTAAGCAAAGGAATCTTGCAAAAGGCCAGGTGTGGTTTATGTAATAGTATATACGCAGTGGCAGCGAGAGGACGTGAGCCAGGTCGGCCATGGCCAGGTTGATCATGAAGATGACGGCTTTGTTCTTCTTGCTGATGAAGCGGCACAGGACCCATAAGGCAGCGCTGTTTGCCAGGAGGCCAGGGATGAATATGATGGTGTAAGTGGCTGCGTACAGGTTGCTTTTGAATGTTATATTGTGATTGGGGCAGTCCTGGTTGGTCTGCATCATGACTGGGCTGCTGGAAACATCTGCTGTGGTATAGGGTAGGTGGGTTATTCCTGTAGAGAACAAAAACAGGGGCTGTAAAGGCAAAAGCACTGCAAGAGCTTTTGATATTCACATTTGCATTTCCCATTTGACTGTTCGGTACAAAGTAGAGGTTTGGAAATGTCTTCTGTATAAAACATCCTGCTGTCTTATTCAAAGGTGCCCTTTTGGAGGTCTCCCACTATTCACGCAGAGGTGAAGGACCATTCCTGTCGTGTCAGTCCCCTTGCTGGGCTGTCTGAGTGCCATAAGCATGGGTGAACATGCGTCTTACTACTAACAGAGGAGCAGGAGAAGCTGCCTATCCTTTTGGCAGCTCGAGGTCATCTGTGATTTGGTCTCTGGGTAGATGTGCCATAGCCCAGCTTCAGTGTGTGAGTAACCACATGGCCCAACCATCAAAGTGTGGTGCCGACCACTGAATAATACCTGCAGGTTAGGCATTGTGTGGGTGGCATTTCTCCTGACCCAACAGTGGACCTCATGGATCCACCTTCTCTGGCATGATGGGGACAGGCCACGTGGAAAAGGGTTGTAGGGACCAAGCTTGAGAGGTTCAACTGTTATAAGTACAGCCAGTGCCCCCGAAGTCTGCTGCCATGTATTTAAGCTAATGTAACAAGCAGAGACCTAGTCAGATCACCAGCTTCCATTTCTCATCACCCTGGTGGCCTCAGTTGAACACTTTTTACCATCATATAATTTTAGTTTTAGATGCTTCCGATTTCTGGCTCTCCTTTGATTCAGATAAGTAGGAATGGCTAAATGTCACATGTTGAACTGTTGGGCCATCTTTCTTTTGCCACCTTTTGTAACGGGGACTTGTCCTCACTAAGGCAGCACAGGCAGGAGGAGTTTGGTTTTATCAGGTATTCCCCCATAGGGTCATAATTTTCTCATTATAGTGATTCCCTCCCGTGTCTAATACAATGGTTAAAATTGAGTATCAGCTTCCTATTTCATGTGGCACTGCAGACACTGATTCATTCCTTCTGACTCATTTCCTCTACCACTGGCAAGGGGCATTTGCCAGAAAAAGTGTCTCTGTAGGTAGATATTAGTAACTCACACCCTGTTACTAATGCTTTTTCCTTCAAGTTACCAAAAAAAAAAAAAAGAGTAGCGTTTTAGACCTCTCAAGTGACAAAGAACACAAATAGCTGTTTTTTCAGCTTGTGAATCGTTGCGGTATTTGGTCTTGGCAGTTTGTGCCGACACTGTTCAGGGCTGCTATGGAAGGATTGTAATTCAGGCCCCAGAAACACCCAGAAGCGGCAAGGTCCCAGGGTGGGACACAAGCCACCTCCACCCGTGGGTGCAGAAGCTCTGGCTGATGCTGAGGGTGAGCAGGGCTGCCAAACCACTGCTCCTGCAGCCTCCCCAGACAGATGCTGCTGCTGCCGCCGAGTTTCTTGCTTTTCTTTTTAAACTTGTCTTACATTTTCTCACGGTCTTCAAAAAGCAAGGTCTGCATGTTTATCTCCGGCAGCACCCTCGGCTTTAGCAACTGGGCTACATCCTTCAGTTGCACCAAACATCAAAGAAATGCTGCAGTGGAGAAACACTCTATCTAATCCCCTCCCTTCACCAAGATGGCACGAACACATGGAGGCCAGGTGCATCAGAGCACGCCTCCCAGGCTGGTTTTGTCCCTCCAGGGCAATTCTTCCAGTCTAAATTTCACTCCCAGTAACCCTCACCCATGGCAGCTCTGGGATGAGATGCTCTGCCCTGTGGTGGGGTGTCTCCAGCTGCCCCCAGCCCACGACACCACAGCCTGGCTCCTATCACAAGGCCAGAACATGTCCATGAGGAGGGAAGTGGGCTCAAAAGGTGCTGGAAATGAGGGGGAGAGATGCATCTGGCCCAAGGCCTTATCTCCACTAGTCTGAGAAGCAACGTTGGAGGCCTCCCGCTCTCCTTTCTGGTGCTCCTCAGGGCACTGGACCAGGGAGTGGACAGGGCATGGAGCTGAGCACTGGGGTGTTCACTCAAGGTGTTGCTTCTCAGAGCAGTAAACTCAGGTTACGTCCCATTTCTTGAGAATGCTGTGATTTCCTGGTACTCTGAAGGTTTGTGATCTCTTTCCACCTGGTTCGCCTGCATCTCTAGCTGGACATACTGTCTGCTGCCCTTGTCTCCAATTAGATCCCTGCTCACTGCACCCCATTTCTGTCCCTTCAGGTGACCACCCACTTTGCCAAGAAGCCATTAAAGAGCCACTTTCAAAGTTATTAGCTGCCTGGTGTCCCTCGGGTGTCAAGGTTAGGCTGACTGGCTGGTGCTCCCCCAAAACCACAAGTGCTAGGTGGCCGTTGAAACCACGGAGGATTAGACACATTTGCAAAATGTTCTATGTTAAGGACAGGCTCATATTTAAATGCTGGGCAGTGGATGCATGTTCTTCGGTTCAAATGAGTCATAATAGTCAGTTTGCTTATTGAGGTCCCTAGATACAGTTAGCCCTTATTTACATTTCATGTGACAGCTAAGGACCCGACCGCAGTGTCAGCAATCAGGATAATCAAGTTCAGGCTGCTGACTCAAAGTGGCCGCTAAATAGAGCCATTTAGGGCAAACTGGCATGTCCAGGATGTGTCTGCTGTAACACGAGGGTGATACTGAGTGCACATGCTTGATGTCAGAATTCAGCCATCGCTTTCTGATTGCGTCAAGCTATGCCCAGTCGTGCAGCCGAGCACAGGGCTGGGCCAACTGGGCCCCTGGTGGAGCCCACAGCATGAAGAGGTTCCCCCTTGGGCTTCTTCTCCGTCTGCTAATTGTCCACAAGGTGTCAGAGTTAATCAAGATTTCATTTCTTTGGCCTCTTTAAGGTAGTTTTCTAACCCTCAAGGGACCAGTGACCGGAAGCAGAGGCGGTGGTGTGATTATGTTCTCATCAGTTCGTGTGGCTGTCTTCTAGGGTGACCCCAAATTGAAAAACCTCGTGTTGCTGAATAACTGATGTTAGCGAAAAAAACACTCCCAGGTTGCTGGTATTTACAGGTAGAAGCATCCTGAAAAGCTGGGCTTTGTTGGAGACCAGGGAGCTGCTTCCAACCTTGGAATCAAAAGGTAATACAACCCAACCTGTGGAAATGCAGGTGGTGTCCCATCCCCACCACCCGAGCAGATGTAACACCAGGGTTGATGAGCAGGAGACATGGGCCATGGAGTGAGAAAAAGTCTCCCCTTTGAATTCAATGAATTTGGGGTCAGGCCATTTACAATGGAGTGGCCTGAGCAGAATGACCTGACCAAAAGCATTAACACAATTAATATATACATGGGTGATGTCTGCTGGCTCATCAGAACAAGCTGCTTTCTGAGAATGAATGACTTAATTACAGAGTCATAAAACCCTAATGAGATTAAACCATCTCTTTAGACAAAATGCACCCAGGCAGATGCACAGGGGACTACAAAATGACTGTGTTTCTGCCTTTCCTCCCACGTCTCTTATTCAGACTGAAGCTTAGTCCTACACTGTCCCCTTATCTTCCCACCTGCACACAAAAGCAGCCACACAGAGATACCACAGAATGTCTGCCTGAAATTAGGTCTCCAAAGCCGTTAAGAAAGCAAAGTAATTCCCTGCATGATGTGTGTACAGCAAAGGTAGAAGGCTGAAAAACTCCACCAGATTTTATCAGGGCTTATTTACATCTCGCAGGGAGGCAGCTCCTACTGCAACGTTGTTTTCAGAATAGGAAATTTTAAGAAAAATTGGTAGTAAATAAATACAGTGTCAGCCAAGTACTGCTTTTTACATTTCAATTTGAGTCTGTATTTCTGAGGCTGTCACACTAAGGACGTAATTAAGGGTGCACATTATTACACGTAGCCGGACATTTGGAAACTAAACGTGGCAATTCTAGGAAAAAGGCGTTCATCTTGATAGGACTGAGAAGCACAGGAATGTCATTCCAGAGTCCTGGATCTTTCTGGCATGCCCATCAGTGGTTGGGTTAATTGATTTGATTAAGACACAAATGCCTCTAAACTCTGTCCCCATTGCATGGATGTGAACATCTCACGCTATTGCACTCGCACTTTGGTGTGAAACCTCCGCAGTCAGAAGTGGAAAGTTCTACAGTTAAGGGTACTTTTTCTGGTTTTCTTCTTCCACAAAAAAAAAAGAACAGATCTGGGTTGTCTGATGTGTTGTCATGAGCTGTTTTCGATTTGCAGCCCTAGTCTTAATTCTCACTTCTGCAGCTCCAGCAGCTGAAGGAGCAGGGCACGCACTCAGCAGGACGCCGGCAGCCTGGCCGGAGCCCCTGCTCCAGGCTGCTCCAGGGCTGTCCTGCAGATGGAATGGCATCAGGGATGCTATTCCCATGGCTGGTGAGGTTTTCCCTGGATCCAAGGTCCCAGCACTTTCACTTGACACCAGAAAACACACCCTTGGACAAAAACCACACTCTTAATTCACACATCCTACGGCTCCAGCCTGCTGCCGGAGTCCTCTCCTACATAAATACGCGGCAAGCCAAGATCTCACCCTACTGACTCACCTTTGGTGAGATTGCCTTTTGATTTACTTTCAGAAATCTCAGATTCGGGGTCCACCTACTGTGAGTCCTGTCTACAATTGCCAAACTGCCTGTGTGCCATTTTGCTGAGCTCCCTTCAGAGCTGAGCTGCCCCTGCAAGCGAATGCAAGCCCGTCCCTAAACCACCTTCTACAAAGTACAGTTTAAAAGCTCCAGTCCATGAAGTTCAGTTTCAATCCAGACCAGAGACTCCAGTCTGATTTATGCATTAAAACTGCCTCAGGATTCTCATCAACGGAAACAAAACCAAGTCCAAGCAATCTTGCTATTTCTGTCATATTGTGTCCCCCTGACTAATATTAATTTCCTACTGTTGCAATTTGGTCAAAGAGCATCGGATGGCACAAAAACAGGCAGCACGTCGATATTTTTTTTTAAGGGCAATATAAATCACCGTTAGAAAAAACAGATTTGCAAGTTTCCTTTACTGCCACATCTGATTTTAAAAGAAAAGATATTCCCTGAGAAATCAGGCGAAAAAAAAAAAAGAAAAAAAAAAAGAAGAAATTGTGCCTAGGAATGCCACTGGAGAGCAGTTGGAGAACCGCTAATTGCCCACTCTCTAATGTTTTGCTCTTTCACACGGCTGCTGTTTCCACTCCTCCATGTGTTCGTACAGAGTATTGGCGCGCAAGGAGGGCTGCTGGTTTTTTTCAAGCCTCAAAGTGCCACAAATCTCCTCCTGGCAAGAGCCAACCCCTAAGAAAAAGCCCGAGGAGCGCAAAGGTTTTTGTAGGAACCAGCGCAGGCTGGTTACCCTGGGTTCTAGATATCAAAAGAGGGAGTTTAAAAGCAGCCTTACCTTTTCGGGCAGAAACCCAGCCAAGTGCAGCCGTGCTGTCAGGAGGAAGTGGAGTGTCCCGGCTGCACCGCGCCAGCCGTGTTTACATCTGCAGGGTGACCTGAATGACATCACGGGGTGCTGGAAGGTGCTGCTTTGCCTGCAGCTCTGGGCTGGGGGTGCTGGTGGGGTGGGCGACCACCTCGCAGCCCCTACCTGCTCCTCTGGGACCTGCTTGCTGGGCTCCCAGCTCTCCTGAGCTGAGTCCTGGCCAGGGGGGACGCACAGTGGCCCCAAAGTTGGGCTCGTGTGTCTTTGTCCTTGTTGCTTTCTCTCCTGCTGGGATGGTTTGGAATCCCTCAGGATGCTGCGGGACACGGTTCCAAGTGAAGCTGGTGCTGCTCAGTGCAGGGCACCCCTTCCTCCTCTCCCACTCTTCCTCTTCCCCAAGCACAGCTCCAAGCTGATCATGGAAACACTCCCAAGGTTTCTGCTTGCTCCTCCCTGGGAAGTTCAGCTTTGCTGGTGCCTCCAGCCTGGGCTGTAGATGGTCATTGCTGTGTGTGAGGCTCAGCTCGTAGTTGCTCTGGGTCACCTAGTGCCAAGTGCCCTTTCTGAAGTCCAACTTCCCAATGGCTTTTTATAGCACTGGTGTGAGCCCTGCATGACATTTCTCCTGAATTAAATTAGCAGGCAGGTCAGTTTACACTTGCTGGATCTCACTGCCAACCATGTCAAACGGTGGCACTTCTGAAATTGTTTCAAGCAGCGGGGTGAAATCCAGCTTCACCCTTATCCCAGGGGGCAAATACATTGGCAAGGTTAGGACTTTACCCACTTAGAGGATCTTATTGTTCAGATTTTCAGAAAGCCACCGGGAATCTGCCCTGCTTTGTCTCCTGAGGATCGGCCTCTGGCTCACAGCACACGACTGTCCCTGTGGCTCAGCAGTTAAACTCTCTGCTCTGTTTGGGTTTAAGAGTGTGAAGTGGAACATCACCACACCCGCTACCTGACTTGGGGACAATATAGATGCCGATGTCAGACTGCTCAGAAACCCAAACCTAATGTCTCTGATTCAAATAAGAACGTTCCCCAATGAACACCCCCAAAAACTGCCCTTTACAGACTGTCCTGTTTCTATGAATTGTCAGAGAAGGTTGGTAGAAGTTCTCTGATTCTATGACTCTAAGTTGGGAAATTGCCAGATGTTTATTTTAAAATTATTTATATGGGCTTCATGAAAAGCAATAGTAAGCTTTTGGCTGATGTTGTGGTGTTTATCAGTACATCCTGTTAGCTGATTTTTTAAAGTTGTTCATCAGCAATGGGAACATATTTGCTGGAATTTGCCCAACCACAAAGTTGTCTTTAAGGTTAAATCACTGCACAGTACTCTGCAGGCTGGCAAAGTCTCGTTTGGGAACAGCAATTCCGAAACAGTTCACTGATTGACCCGACTGGCATTTGTGCAAAACAAACATTATTGACTCTTCTGCAGATGCTCTCTCGTCTGTGTAGACTTCCATCTGTCACAAAAGTAAGCTATAACAGTAAAAAAAAAGGTGCTTGTAAAAATACTCCATACTTATCTACAGGTCTACGTATAGATGAGATGCAGCTACTGCTGCCTCTCTGTACTCAAGCACAGAAACTGTTCTAGCAGCCTGGTTTAGGGCAGGTGGTTATACAAGAAATGTAGGACTGAGAAAGAGATTTAAAGGCACAAGTCATGGCACCTTCAGAATAGTTCTGCTGAATTTCTTTGTGCTTAAATTTATCCAGTTGCAAAGTGGGGATGACATTTTCCTGTCCGAAACTGAAAGATGTTTGCTGTCTGGACTTTTGTCAGATTCAGCTAGAAGATTATGTAGATTCAAAAAACTTCTAAGTGACCTAAGTGATTAAGGGATTAGAGCATCTCCCTGATGAGGAAAGGCTGAGAGAGCTGGGACTCTTTAGCCTGGAGAAGAGAAGGCTGAGGGGAGAGCTTCTTAATGCTTATCAGTATCTAAAGGGTGGGTTGAAGGAGGATGGAGTCAACTCCAACCATTCTGTGATTCTGTGATCCTTTATGGTACCATGCCCTCTGGTACTGTAAGCCTGGAGGGTTTGAACCTTGCTCGCCAATATTGCATATCAGTTATCCTGCAGGCATGGAGTGAGGAAGTGGCTTTTTCTGCTGATAAAACTGAACTTACCCTAGGGATTTTGCAGGCAGTTATACTGGTTACAGATGTACTTTCCCTATAGGTCTAATTGCCTTAATTTTGTAGGTAAAACTTTGATTTGCATAGCATACCAAAGACCGTTCTCGCTCTTGGTTATTGTTTACCGTGATGACCTTGGTAATGAGCTTGCCAGAAATATTCACTGCCATAATGAGCTATATTAGAGGAGAGCTTGGCTCCAGCAAAACAGCATGGCCAATATTTCCTGGAGTTCAGAGAAGGGGCTTGACCTCGGCTCTGTTTGCACCGCTCTGGGTTGACTACCTCTGGAGCTTCCCCAGGATGGTCTGCAGCATGACTTTTGTCTCCTTCACGTTAGAAATGAGCAGCCTCTGTGGAGCAGCATCCCTGGCAGGAGGATGCCCTGGGCTCCTCAGACCCCAGAGCCTCCTGGCTCCTTCAGGGGACGTTGCTGCTGCAACGCATCGGTGCCAGCGCTGTCACCCTTGTGTAATGAGCAATGGAGCAACACCCGCTCTCGTGGCTTTAATGCAAAAAATAACTCCAAATTTGCTTGTTTGTTGCAAAGCTTGTCTCAACGTGCAAGACTGAACTCCTGTAGAAACATGTTACTGGGCCTTTTTTACGCTTCTGCTTCCTTTCCGAGTTCTTTTCCGAAATCCCAAGTTATTGTCGTCCTGTGGATCTTACCAGGCAATTAGAGCATCACTGCATTTTATTTCGTAGAATATTTGAAGCAGGTTTTTTTTATCCACACCTACAAGGGAAGGAGTCACAAGAGGAAAAAAATCAATCTCCAGTGGAATAAATTACAGCCTTTTAATAGGAAGCAGGGGGAAAATAATTGCATATCTAAATTGTTATTAGTGTCACTAAAATTACATAATAATTAACGCTTGCCTGAAATAAAGACTTAGAGTTAGATTCCATGTCCTAGCATGGATAGCCAACTTATTTTGCTGTCAACTCAAGGCTTCGTAGTACGGAAAAGCAGATATTCAGTGAAAGATAACTACCATGAAGTTATATCGGTTTGGTCAAAAGTTGTGCTATGACAGACAGAAAGTAAATATTTCTTTCTTATTATTCTGGAGAATTAGATGGGCTTATTTAAAGGGGTACAAAGACTTATATTAGAAAGTGAAAATATATATGCAGATTAAAATACATAAGTATGCTGTTTACTCTAAAATCCTCTTCCATGTTACAAATCAGATAACAAAAAAGAGGAACCCAGAATGGCAAACGTTTTGAAATTCTGTATTTTTATCTATGTATTTGGGCCCCCAGATGGTAGTCTTTTGTTCCCTTTCAAAAAAAAAAAAAAAAAAAAAAACATATTCAAAACATAAAAACTGGGTGTAAAAACTGAGAGAAATAATTTCTAATTACCTGCCTGCATTTTATGGCAACTGAAATATCATTGCTCATTAGTGACTCTTTTGCTGTTACAGAGCTACAATGACGTCGCACAGTTAAATCCTGTTGTTAATAATTTCCTCTGGTCCTTGTTCAGACGCACACGGTACTGTTGTCCAAAAAGAGAGGCAGATTCTGTTTCAAATAGATAGGTTTTTAATTCAAAACAGGAGCATTTCCTAACAGAGAAGCCTGCTAGTTCTGTCTTAGTTCATCACTGGCTACCTCCCACAACACTCGCTCCCTTCTGTGGGCTCCTGAAACTGTGAAGAGATAATGAACTGAAAACATTCACATCTGAGTGTTTCTACAGTAACGAGAATATTCCTCTCTGACAGCAAAAAGAGAAAGGAAATATTAGAATGTTTTGGAGTCTGGGGTGCCCCAAAACTTGGAAGCTCAGCTCAGGTTTTATTCAGACCAGCTGAGCACCTTGAATCTCTGGAACTGGATGAAACTCTGAGAAGATTTTCTCACGGGAGATATGGGGCTTGGCAATACCAGCCACAAGAGCTTACCCATCAGAACCATTGCTCTTTTGTTATCGTCAATTACTTTCAAAGTTCTGTTTTTCACCAGAAACTAAAAAGGAGGAAATATGCCTTCTGCTCTAACACAGTATCTCTGAGAAGTATTTTCCATACAGCTGATACCAAAATTATCTTCATTGGTTGTCTTTGCTAAAAACTTCTTCGCCATCCAGGCACCAATAGAGGTTAGGTGTGGACCTTCTGGAAAGCACGTCTGAGAAAAAGGATCTGGGGGTCCCAGTGGACAGTAAACTATCCATGAGCCAACAATGTGCCCTTGTGGCCAAGAGGGCCAACGGGACCTGGGGCTGCATAGGGAAGAGTGTGGCCAGGAGGTGGAGGGAGGTCATTCTCCCCCTCTGCTCTGCACTGGGGAGGCCACAACTGGCCTCCAGTTCTGGGCTCCCCAGTTCAAGAGAGACAGGGAACTGCTGGAGAGAGTCCAGCGCAGGGCAACAAAGATGATTGAGGGATTGGAGCACCTCTCTTGTGAGGAAAGGCTGAGAGAGCTGGGACTCTTTAGCCTGGAGAAGAGGAGGCTGAGGGGAGACCTGATTAATGCTTATCAGTATCTAAAGGGCGGTTTGAGGGAGGATGGAGCCAGACTCTTTTCAGTGGTTCCCAGTGACAGGACGAGGGGCAACGGGCACAAGCTGGAACATGGGAAGTTCCACTCAAATCTGAGGAAGAACTTCTTTACAGTGAGGGTGGCAGAGCCCTGGGATAGGCTGCCCAGGGAGGGTGTGGAGTCCCCTTCTCTGGAGATCTTCAAGCCCCACCTGGATGCAGCCCTGAGTGATGTGCTCTGGGCAACCCTGCTTTGGCCGGGGAGTTGGACTGGATGGTCTCTAGAATGTCCCTTCCAACTCCAACAATTCTGTAATTCTGTCATCCTTTACGGTTCAGAATCCCTTGACACACAGAGTGCAGTAACCAATGGCCTTTTGGAGGGGATAAAAGAACATTTTGTGGTGGAGGGACCTGGGTGGGAACTTGTGCTTATTTTTGTCAGTGATGATTTTAATATCTTTGCCCAGTTTGTGTGAGAGGCTTGCAAAAGTTCTCTTTCCAAGGGGGTCTATATAGCCCTAAGTAAACCTTGTAGCAGCCCTTGCAACCTGCATGTGTGATTCCTTTTTCTTACCTGCACAGCATATTGAACACATATTTTTCATGCCTCTAGGATCTTTATGCAAATTGCTATTCCTCACTGCCCGGCAGCGTTCCTGGAGGAGAAAAAGCTGGCACAATCTGGTGAGATCCAACTAAATGGAAGGGTTATACAACTAACAGGCTTTAGATCTCTCTGCATAAGGATCCTCTAGTATCAGATCATCATACTAAGGGAACCAAAATCAGATTAGAATCTGTCTGCAAGAGTTATGTCAAGTCTTACGTGCTGGTGACTGGCCCCTCTTGTATTGGCAATCCGATTATAAGAGTAGTGGTAATGAAAGTCTGTGATAGTGGTGTGAACTTGTACCTCCTCAGGTTGTTGCCTTTGGGAACCTACCTGAAACAGAATAGCTGGCCTTCAGGAAATGAGATTTTCAACCTGTACTGGAACCA